AAAAATAAATGAGTCTCAACAAAATTAATAGCTTCGTCACTTATAATGAAATCTTGGATCTGCGATAATTACTTAACTTCACGTTTGAATTGGCCTTTCAAGCAATAGTTTTAGGATGAGTCTACAAAGGCCATCGGAGCTCTATAAACACCTAAGAGTTTCCAAAAGATATATCCTGGGGAAATCCCATGATGACATAGTTACATCGCTCCCAAAAGATGAAGATGCCCCCGAGCTAGAGTCACGACTTCAATTCCATAAGCAATTTATGATAGGAGCACAAAGTAACAGAGTGGGGTTAGGATCAAATAGGAAAGTCCAATTTGCGGATATATTGAAGTCTTTTATTCGGCAAGACGAGAATGATAAATATAAGATCCATGAAATGAGTTTAGAAATGCAGAACAAGTGGTTAGACAAAGGAATTTTTTTCATCCCATTAGCATTAAAATGGCGCACATTAATTTATGATTGGTCGTCAGCATTGCTAAAATCCTATCTAAATGCGTTCCAGATGACTCTCCCAGATCAGAGTAATGTAGTAAGATGGGGTAAAGGTACCGAAAAAACTTGCTATATCTGTGGAAAGGCAGTTGGAACTGCTAAGCATCTGCTGGTGGGATGTAAGGTACTTACTCCTGGACAGCGGTCAATACTGGCGTCGTCACGATAGGGTTCTAGAAATCATACGTGAAGCAGTTAGTCTTTCGGTAGCCAGAGCGCAAAAGGGAAATAACCACAAACGAACGATCAGTAGGTTTTGTGAGAGAAGGCACTAAGGCTACAAAATCAAATCCCCGAAGATATTTGTGCGTCGGCCTTCAGACCGGATATATTTTTGTTTTCGCGAATTTGATAATAGTGCTTACGGTTCCTTGGGAAACCAACATCCCCAAAGACCATATAATCAAGGTCAACAAATATTTTTATAATTTATCTATATTTCTTAGTGAGAAATGTTTAAGGACTCAGGTATAATTTTCTTTAATTTACTGTGTTATTGTTTATATGTTTTATTACATTCCTGTGCTCTGTTTTTTTCTCCAATAAACTAAAAATAAATAAATAAATAAATAAATAAATATTGTTTTAATTAATAAAATAAATATTAGTTTAAAAAAACACACTCGTTATTAATACATATTTATTTTATATTTTTTAGTACGATTTATCAATTAGTCTTTTGTGGACATGCGCAGATCGCACACTAGCTCTGTCCCTTTCACTCTCATAGAGGATCTATGAAAAGAATATATTAATCCTGGCGGCCCCAACAAGGATAATGGGAAATTGTTGACGTATTATTGCATTTTCATTGGTTCTTGAGACATATCAAGTTTCAAGTTAATCAGATATTTCGAAACCGGTGAAAATCGTGCTCAAAGATTCTGTTACATACATACATACAGCCCAAGCTAATATAAGCATGTTAAAAAATAAGCGTCATCCTATATCTTGTTCGGGAAACAACCGTAAATGACGCTAAGTATGACAAGGTCGCATTTGCATCAAATGCAATGATGAAATAAAAAGTCAATTTCCTACTTATCTTTATGTACCTATAGACCATCCATATGTATCTATAAATATAGTATCAATAGTATAAGATGCTAAATTTAAAAGAAAAGAAATAGTATTCATGAATACAAAAACGTAATTATTTATATTAATGTTCAATTCAAAACTCATGCAAGGCCAATTTTTAATATTTAAATGTTAATGTTTGAGATATTGATATATGAATTACTTATTTGATTACACTAGGTATATCTTTACATGGCAGCCCTATTACCGGGAAGTCCCTAATTCAAAGGTGACGTTTCTATATCTTTATCGCTGCGGCTGGCCTAATGCTAAGTAGTTAGTGACAACTGACATTGCTTATAAACTAGGAAGTTGCACCTATCGTTCATATTTTCTCTGAAGTTTTGAAGTGAAGAGAAATAACTTTTATTCTATTAGTTTTTTACATTAAGAAGCTTGGGAACTGAAAGAAATTATACAAACTTAAGACGTATAAGGTTGTCATCAGCCTATGAACGCCCACTGCTGAGCATAGCCTCTTCTCACATGGAGAAGGTTTGAGCATTAATCACCACGCTTGCTCAAGACGGGTTGGTGATTTCAAACTTATAATTGTGAAACTATAAGTCCAGGTTTCCTCACGATGTTTTCCTTCACCGTATGTCAGTGGTGTCTAAATAATCTCAGAAAGTACATATGATTCCGAAAAATCACATTGGTACTTGCCAGGTTTGAACCCGCGCCCTCGGCAACGAGAGGCGGACCCTTTAACCACTAGGCCACCACTGACTTATAAGGTTATAGTAAGTATATTGTTACTAAGTCATATATATATCTGCGTGTTTTAATATATATTTTTTTGATATTTGCAACTCATTAGGAACATGACATTAATTATATTATACATTTTGTATTTGTAAATGTTTGAAACCCAAGGTATATAGAACTATGAGCATAATCACTCACCATAATAAAAAGCAATGAACATAAAAGTATTCTGCACTGAAAGATTTAACAATATATTAATTGTATGTGTCGCTGTTACTTTTACTGTTCCATTACTTTGTCTACTTTAACTTGATTCCTCAGTATAAACACAAATTACAGTCCGAAGAACCACTTATATCTTGAAGTAGCTAATATTTAATAGTACAACAACAATTGTATAACTTTTTCTATAGTAATAAAATATAAGATTATTTAAAAAGTATTCTAAACAATGATCTGTTTATATTTGAGTCTATTCAAAATGTATTTTTTAAAATGATAATTCTGTTAAGCCCTTTGCTATTGAAGATTCTTAAATATATTATGTTGGTTACACAGATATATCAATAGTTTTTCTATTGAACTTTTTTTATTTACAAGCTGTTTAAGTATTTACTTAAATTTAGTTAATTTTTAAGTTCACTCTTTATAATTTATATAACCCAGATAAGCCTACTGTCCTATATTTAGGACAGTAGAAATAAAAAAAAATATCAGAATATCCTCTGTATCTAAGATTATTTAGTCTTATGATTTGCAGTAAGAAACGTGTCAGCTTTATTAGAAAAAATAAAAAGACAGTTATTTTAACAGTTTTTACCCTATATTTCACCTTATAAGTGTGTAATAAAAGTGCGTTGCAGACATGGCAAATGACAGGTATGTATAAAAAGTTATATTTTACTCGTGAGTTGTTTTTTTATGTGTTAATATCTAGTTGATAACCTTAACTTTTGTACTAAATAAATATTCTAGAAAAATAATATAAATAAATTACGTATAACTTGTTACAAATACTAGTGTACTATATATAGGACAGTAGGATTATATACATGATTTTAGTACAATAATACAACTTTTTCTTTACAGACTGTTAGCTGCGCATGAAATTTTAGATGCTTTAAAAAATGTTTCTGATAATGAAGAAGATTATAGAGAACGACTGATATGTATTCTACCTCCTCCTGTTGATCCTGACTGTCTCACTGACGAAGATTCGGTTGAACAAGATAATGTAACTTTGAATAATTTGCCACGAAACATTCTGCTTCAACCGGCTGGAGTAAGATTAAGGGGGGATTATTATCTATTCAAGGGCAGATTATGGTGAGTGATACAAAAGAAGAACCTTCTGATTCTACGGGACTTAGCAAAAAATCCCGTGAATTGGCCAGATGTTCAAGGCGCTTGCCAAGATAAGCGCCCAATTGAGTGGTTTGAAAACTTCTTAGATGAAGATGTTATTTCGTTGTTGGTGTCCGAGGGCAATAAATATGCTGTCAAAAAGAATTTGCCTGGAGACATAACCACTGAAGATATGAAATGTTTCATCGGCATATTGTAGGTTAGTGGTTATTCATGGCTCCCCCGTAGAAGAATGTATTGGGAAAACTCCCCTGATACAAAGAATGAATTGATCAGCTCGACTATGACTAGGGATAGATTTGACTTTATTTTTCGCCACCTTCATGTCAATGATAATCTATCTGGATTTGCAAGACAAATACACAAAAGTACGCCCCCTAGTTACACTTCTAAATAAAAAGTTCTTAGAGTTTTCTCCTCTTGAAGAGCATTACAGTGTAGATGAGGTCATGATCCCCTACTATGGTAGACATGGCTGCAAAGAGCACATAAAAGGTAGACCTCCCTCCCATCATGAACATGTTGATAGTCGTAAAGACCAAATGAATCATCTGGTTATTCCTCAATCGAAGCAAACACGCTGTCGTCAAAGTCACAAAAAATGTTTGACACGTTGTAAGAAATGTGATGTTGGAGTGTGTGTCAAGTGTTTTGAAACATATCATTCATAAATAGTGTTAATCTAGTAAATTACATATAACAATGGGTAATATAATCAACTAGCTTTCCGCCCGCAGCTTCGCCGCGTGGAGTTCGGTTATATCGCGTTTCCAAGAGAACCTTTCAAAAGTCTGGGATAAAAACTATCCTATGTTCTTTCTCAAGGTCAACTCTATCTCTGTACCGAATTTCATTAAAATCAGTTCAGTGGTTTAGGCGTGAAAGCGTAGCAGACAGACAGACAGACAGACAGACAGACAGAGTTACTTTCGCATTTATAATATTAGTAGGGATAGTTATCTAAACTACACTTTTTGATTACATTCTGTTTTGTCATAAATGGTCTTTTATTTCCTCTTATTATCCTACTGTCCTACATATAGGACGGCTGTTTCCCTGAAAGCCTTACACTTAATTTTTTTTTCATAATTTTTTTTATGTTGCATAAGATCTAATAAACTAAATAATGTAACTTTTTTCAAAATTTTCAGAAAATTTTAGTTTCAGGCTTATCTGGGATAAATTAAAATGATATCTCATCCAGAAATGTACCTCATTTGTATGATATGAAACATTGTTTAAAAGGGAATTCATGAATATTAATTTCTTAAATCATTCAAATATATCTTAAATTTAAATAAAATTCTAATATTATTATAATTTCTAATAAATATTTTTTACAGCAAAATGAGTGCAACCTACATTATACCTTTGGATGAAATAGACTTAGGTCTCTTACCAAATACTTATTCTCCGAAGAGAAATATGCCGCTGTGGAGCTTAAACAATGAACAATGTGAATTTCGTATTTCCTACAATCCATCAGAAGATCGGAGTGATAAAGGTGATTAAATCCATTTATAAATATATATCATATATACATTTGTATGACACTCTACATATTTATTAAGTATATAAAATATATTAAGATACTTTATTTATACTATCACACTCTAAAGCCAATATAGATAAAACTATAAGTGAGTATTCCCCAATGTGAGTGATACTGCTTCTTGAAGAAATGGGAACTGATATGTAATTTAGTTAGGATAAGTTACAACAGTTTTTCATTTGGTTTAAAAAAACAGAGGCACCAAAATTATTTTATTCTTAAAGTAGATAATAGTCAAAATTGGTTGGTCATCTATTTTTAGAGGAACCCCACATAAGAGCTACATATTAGTTATTTTTGGAAATTACACAAAGATCTTATTTAATATTTTTTTTCTTGTTAAACTTAAACTACATTTCGTTGTGATTGTCGGTTCAAGTTGTTTGATGGACATTTATAATGAGCAAATACTCCTAACTGTTTCAGATGCCTCAACAAACAAACAGGACCTAAAAACGACTATGTGTCACATTTGCAAGATTGATGTTCCGGTGAAATATCTCCAAGAACACAGAGATGGTGTTAAACATAAAGCATATTTAAAAATAGCTAACACAGCATTGGAAAGGCTAAAAGATGAAATCAATAATAATGTGTATTCAGAAGAAAGAAACTCGTTGAAATATTTCTGTCCTCATTGCACTACTGTTACAGAAGTATGTGATCGACAAAAACATGATAATTCCACAGATCACAAGAACGCTGTCCTTATTGACAGATATATAACAAATTTTCTTGATTTTTATACAAATTCAACGGATAACGTAAAAAATACTTTGGAATCTCAAGTTGCACAATCAAAGCCAGCTGATAAACTATTAAATGCCATACAAAACACGAAGCCAATAGATGTTCTGAATAATTTTGATATGGAAAATTATTTGAATGTATTGAAATATAAACACAAAATGACCACTAATATAAAAGTGATCAGTAAAGGAATACTACAGATAGATATAGATGGAAGTAAACTAGAAATTGACGAAGATAATTTTCATGGTATCTTAAACCGAGATGGGGGTTGTGTTGAGTGCATTGTTTGCAAAGAAATTTTCAGAACTGAGAATAAATACATACATATTCGAGGATCAAAACATGCTTATAGAGTGACTATGCCAATTATAGATATTAACTGCATAAGAGAGGTAATATTCCATTACATATATTATTCTTTTAGCCGACTTTATAAATAAATGTAAAATTCTCCTAATTAACCGATCTTTCTTTATCCTTTGACTTATCAGACATTTAAATGTTTTATCTTTTCTTTTACTTAAAGATACTTTTATGTTTTCAGATATATCCATCGTGGTACCACTGCATTCTTTGCAACACTATCACTGAAAATTACTCAACACACATTGCCTTAGATAGTAACCATAGCAAAAATTTTAACACTGCTTTCAAATATTTCAACTTCCAGGGAAATGTCACATCTTTAGACAATCTGAAACCTAACAATGATCATTTAAATGACAACAAGTCTTTTGTTTTAAACAAAACTAGTATAGATGGCTCTGTTATAACTAATGATTCTACAGAAAACCATACATGCAAGTACTGTAATATCCAATTAAAAAGAAGAAGCAAAAGGAAACATTCCTTGACCTCAAGACATATATGGAATACCAAATCTCCTTATCATTACTTATACACAGTTAATACAAGTACATGTAGAGTTTGCAATATAGATGACAACAATGTTGAAAGTCATGTGGACTCAGAAAATCACAAACAAAAGTACAGAGAATACTTATCGGAAAATAGATTAGTTTCCATTGATTTGGATAAATTCTTTTGCATGGTCTGTTTTGATGTGGTAATGATAAGAAACGAATTACTACATACATATAACCCAAATCACAAGAAACAAATGGATAGTGTAAAAGATGCCGAGAACTATTACTGTGCCATGTGTGATAAATCTATTAAAAATGATAAAAATGGAATAAAACTTCACAACGAAAGTAAAGAGCATCGGAAAAACATTGCAACATTTAAATATATATATGCAACTATTACAGAAACAGATGATATGCTTTTATCAACTGATAGTAAAGTAGATTTGAAATGTACGCTATGCGACATACTTGTTGCAAATAATAATAATAGTGTGGAAATTCATACGCAAAGCTGGAAACATATAGAAAAATACAGAGAACTCCTGAAAGATAATATTATGGAGGTGAAAGAAAATATTTTATGTTGTAATGTATGCAATATCTACATAACTAATAAAGCATGTCTCACACATATGAGGGGTAAAAAACACATCAAAAAACTTCGACTTCACAATGAAAAATTAAATAATACAAACATTATAAAAGAAACAAACACAAATGAATCAGATGGACAGAATAATGAAAACAGTATTAATAATCCTGGCATTAATACAAATGGAATAAATGCCATTACTACTGTAGATGAGATTAATAAAATATATAATTCAGAGATTCATTTAAATGAAACAAATGACATGAAAATTAATGTGATATCGACCATAAGAAATGAACCTGGTATTAATATGAATGAAGCTATAGAAAATGAACCTGGCATTAACATGAATGAAGCCATAGGAGATGAACCTGGCATTAATATAAATGAAGCTACAATAAATAAACCTCGGAGAAATATGAATGAAGCCATAAGAAATGAACCTGTCATTGACATGAATGAAGCCATAGGAGATGAACCTGGCATTACCATGAATGAAGCCAAAAGAAATGAAACTGGCATTAATATGAATGAAGCTATAAAAAATGAACCTGGTGTAAACATAGAAAAAAATGAAGAAAACAAAGCAAACATACATGACAATGTCAACAAAATTAATGATTCTGATGTGAATTTATTAGATGAAAAAGTGAACAAATTTATGCAATTATTTAAAACGACGGAAGAAAATGGTCAGATATTATGTAAAGCGTGTAAGGTGAGAGTTCCGTTCGCACTTCAGAATATGATTGAACATTTGAATGGTGCTAGGCATAGGAAACAAATTATGGAAAACTAAGTTTATTTACTGAAAATTTTTATATGGGTGTTTATTTAAAATGATTGATCAACTTATACGGTGTGAGATCTAAGACTTTCGCTTGTATTCATTTGAATGACATTTATATTCTTCGTATACTACGCATAATTATTGTTTTAACTACATACTATCGACGTTTCGGTTACTTTTCATCAACCGTGATCATAAAGACGAGATGTGAGTGTCTGTCAGTTGGTCTTGTTGTTTATCATATACTGTCATTGATTTCTTTTAACTTATAGGTGATATTGATTCCAAATAAAGAGCTTCATAGTATGTAAGATATTTTTATGATATATTATTATTATTGTTATCATTGAGAAATAAATAAAATATGATTGAAAATATTTTTGATTTTTATTACTATTTATAGAATTGCCTTATTGTCAATTTTTGAAATGAAAATCTTTGTGACTTCAAACAAGGTGGCGTTAAGCGTTTAACGCTATAAGAGAGAATGAATGATGCACACATGTAGAAAGTAGGAGTGAGAGAGAGTGAGTGAGTAGGACATAGCACATGAGTATGGTCTTGTTGCTATGCAGAGAAGTAAACAGTGTGAGCGACGTGAAATTAGCTGAAATACGTAATTGTTCTATATTAATTTATTTATAACTAGTTTTTGTACGCGACTTCGCCTGCGTTAGTCTGAATTAGAAATTAATTATGAGTATTAATTATTAGACCTGGCGAATTCTGTTCCTCTAAGACAGTAGTTAAGAAGATTTTGGATTTGATGAACACAATTTTTTTATTTTCTATTGTATGAAAAGTATCTTATGTCCTTTCCCTTGTTCTAATATATCTCTCCACCAATCTTCATCTAAACCCATAGTCGTTTTTGAGTTATACATAATGCAACTAACACGACTTTGTTTTATATATAAAGATAGTCATTATTTATTTGATATATACATCAAATAAATCAGCTGGTTAGTAATCACTTGTGATGACCTCGTTATCTGTACATGTTGAAAGGAGGAGGATTCTTTGATCAAACTATACATTTTGTAGGACTTAACTAAATAAATCCAGTTAGTTATAAATTTTGGAAAATTATCAAATCATCATTTTATCTCTGCTAGCTAAGCTAGCTACCACAATCAAGAAATATCGAAAAGGAAAAAGTTGGGCGTCTCAATGAAACGAAGCTACTCACGGAAAATTAGCTTGTTAGTATACAAGTGCAAAAAACAGCCATGTATCCTGGACTAATAATGTTGAGTACTGTGTGGAGACACGAAGGAGTTTGAGGAATGGAATAAAGGCGTTTAATTGTTTAATTATTGTTATTATTACATTGAAGGAGAATGTAGATATATTTTCACTAGTACGCCATGAGCATTACAAAAAGCTATATTTAAGTAGAAAAGAAAAATAAATGAGTCTCAACAGAAATTAATAGCTTCGTCACTTATAATGGAATTTATTACTTGTACATTAAGGTAAACTGTAGCCTTATTATGTAATTAACAGTGGATTATGTTAAGAGAAAAACAGTAAAGAAAACAGTCAGTGGTGGCCTAGTGGTTAAAAGGCCCGCCTCTCATGCATGAGGGCGCGGATTCGATCCTGGCCCGGGCAAGTACCAATGTGATTTTTCCGAGTCATATGAACTTTCTAAGAGTATTTAGACATCACTGATTAATGCATTCCCAAAGAGGGTTGATGTCAGGCAGGCGGCCGGTCGTAAAAACAATTAGCCAAAACTATTCACAACATGTAAGGCAGACCCTGGCTAAAAATGGGAAAAATTGCCAGGAAAAAGAAGAAGAAAAACAGTAAAGAAAAATAGAAAAAAACCGACAAAAGAGGTTACTTTACTTGCGAGAGGTATATACCTAAGTCTTTTTTATAGTTTTTCACGCGTTTCGTATATTTAACTCGTAATTTTCTCACGAGGAATAATCATAAGAATTGTGTAATTGACTAGTCATAAGTGATTATCTAATATACCAAAATTAATAGATGCGTCTGTGTGATAAGGTATGTTTTGCAAAAATAAGTTATGATCTTCTTTTTATAAAATATATTTAATATTATTATTAAATTCTGAAGACATAATAGGTACTTTTTAAATTATTTTGTGGACCTCAATGTTTTCGAACGTTATCCACTAAAAAGCTAAAAAAATCAGTGTTTTCAAGAGATCAAAATAAATAAACTTAAACAGTAATTGTTTTTAATTCATGAATTTTTATATAAAGTAGGAAGGTCGAAAAAATCTTTGGATTATTTTTCTAATTAATTAAATTAATCTTACGATCTGCTATATAAAAATTTATAAAAGAAAATCAAATTACAGATAACCATGCCTTTGTTAAAATATTACGAAATTATTTACATAAGTCATTTAAACAATTATATAAGTATTTAGGTACCAATTGCGTTACGTCATATTTGTCAGGTGTGGTTGTCATTTACTTGCAAATTTAATATATGATTATATGCAACTCATATGTAGTTTTAAATCCGTAACTAATGAAAATAAATTTGAGATATTAAAGAAGATTGACGGCCATTAGATAATTTAATGATTAGACTTAAACACAGAATGTATGTATGTGTTACACGTGTTTAATGTAAAAATTTATTTTGGGACAGATATAAATATTCATCAGTCATTGTTGGAACAGTTTATTACTAAGCGTAGATGCGTAGAATTATTTTTGAAAACTTTTTTGATGTAATGTATCATAAAGTCCTTATTTTTGTAATCGTTCTGTCAGATTTTAAATTACAGGAGTAAAAATATTAACTGTCTAGTATAAAAGGAATACTTTCTTTAAATAAATTACTATTATTCAATATATTCACGGTGCGGGTGTCGGGTCAATCGCGTTGCAGAGAGAGGAGCTTCAACAGTGACTGTGACTTGCGACTAGGGTTGCCAACTTTTTTTTAGAAGATATAGAGTATATCTGATTTTAAAGGAGAAAAATAAAGAGTATGGACTTAAAAAAAAGAGTATCATTTATTTCAAATCTTTAAAAAGATATTTTTTGTACTTTTTTTTTCATTGCTTTTAAAAGAATTGTATAAGTCCAAACATTCTAACTCTAAATTCATATAGATCAAGAGCTCATTTTTAATTAATTTCAATGAAGCTCTGTTCCTCTCTTCTCGTCACTTCACATTCATGACCGAAAAGACTCTTCCAGTAAATGCTGAAGTGCCGGGAACAGAAAGTATTTAGTCAATATTTTTTTTTTCAAATAATCAAATTCTCCAGGACTCTTTTTAAATATAAATTGCCATTTTTCTACAGTGGATTTTGCATAAAATCTGAGTTATTAAATATTTCAGCTTGTAGGTCTTTTAAAATTATAACTTCTGAATATAAACCGTCCATGTGTAGTTTGTCTTTATAAAATAAGTTTTCTTCTACATTTTTTTCTAAATGATTAAATTCAACATTACTTTTTAAAGATATTTTATTTAGCCAGTAATCACTACTAAAATAAACCCATTTTTGTAAATCAATTAAACATTTGTCTATACTCTATACACAATGTAAAATGCATGTTTATATGTTTAAACAAATGAGGTGATGATTGTTCAATAAGTTGTAATTTCTGTTTTGTTGTATAGCCAAAATACTTGTCTTTCTGTCTTTGCAGTAATTCTGATTTTAAACTTTCCATTAATCCAAAAACATCTACAATTGTGACAGAATTACCTTCCCTCTGGAAGGTCTTTATTTATTTTATTTAAAATGCTTTATTGCACAACACATGGAAAAAAAAAGGGAAAATACAAATAATAAGTAAGTACATACATGGTGCACAAAGGCGGTCTTATCGCTTATAGCGATCTCTCACAGACAAGCTTTGGTGATAGGAGCTTAGAACGAAAACAGGTAAGTGAAGAAAAAAATACAGAAAAATGAGGAAATACACAATATAATAATATATACACTAAGGTATAGTAATAAACTACACATAACTACATCCCAATAATACATACATAGAAATATAATACATATCAAAATATATATACATAAATATAAACTACACATTATTACATACTTGCATACATTATATAGATATGGATAGGTAATAGTTTCTCAAACGATGCTTAAATATTGCCAAGGATTTCGACTGCCGTATATCAGTGGGTAGTGCATTCCAGAGTTTGACGGTTTTCACAGTGAAAGAGTTACCATAAGTTTGCGTCCGGCTGCAGGGTGTGACAAGTTTATTGTTCTCACTAGAACGCAGGTTGTGCGTGTTATCAAGCCCAAGAAATTTGAAACGTTCTTTAAGATAAGGTGGTGTATCCTCAACGTATAGAATAGCATAGAGAAGAGATAAGGCGGGCAAGTTTCTTCGAAGCCTGATTGGCAGCCACTTCAACTGAGACCGATACTGCGATACGTGATCATACTTACGCAGGCCAAATATGAATCTAATGGCCAAATTTTGCAGCCGTTCTAATTTATTCAGAAGGTCTTCAGTTAAATCAGTGTAGCAGGCGTCGGCATAATCTAATATTGGAAAAAGAAATGCATTGGCTAAGCTGATCTTAGCCTTGATGGGTAGTAAATTTTTCCAATATTTAATAGTTTTGTGAAATATATTTATAATATGGCTGGCAAAATGTAGATAAATTTCAATTAAATCTTGCTTACAATCTAACATCAATATTTTGAATTATCATAGGGCAATCCTCATCAAGACTTGGTGGTGGTGGTTTGAATGTGGTTGGAGGAAATTTGGGGATGCCAATTACCACCATATTAACAGTAAATAGTCGAACTTTTTGGTTTTGATTTTGGGTTTTTGCATAATATTATTTGACTAGTAAAAATGTGTAGAAAAAGAGTATTTTAGCGTACTTTATTAGTATTATAGATTACAGAGTACACTTACATGATATAGAGTACAATACTCTATTTTAGAGTACGGTTGGCAACCCTACTTGTGACCCAGGTGTAGGTTTAAGGGACCCCTATCTAACGTTAAACGATCACCTTCACCGTACAAGCTCTTCTCTCTACCTAATTTGACAAGAATCTACTAGGGCTGCCTTCGAAGTATGTTCCAAGAATGAATTGGTATTAGATCTGGACAGCAGTGCCGTAACTAGGGCGGTGCCAGCATTGCCCAGGCACAAGGCGCAGACCCTGGAAGGGCGCAGAAATGACCAGACTAGTATCTAGTTTTATTTCATGCATGGTAGCTTTACTACATGCTTTGTTACTGTGGTAAACAACAAATAGATAGATTTATTTGTATGCAAATTTATCCATTTTATTTTTAGAGCCTGGTTAGAGCATTTTTTAGGGGTGCAATTTTGAAAGCTCGCACCGGGTGCATAAAAGCCTAGTTAGAACACTGCTGGACAGGCCCAAGTCTTGTAGGTTGTAGAGAGATTTAGTTATCATACCTCTCGCTCCCACTTCTACCGCGTACGTAAATCCACGCGAACCTATTTCGAGTTAGTTCGTTAGTGAGCTCGTAATATTTGACCTTGATGGTATGGTCTTTGGGGATGTTGGTTTCCGAAGGAACTGTAAGCTCTATCATGACAACGCGTTTTAAAATTCACGAATATATAAATATATCTGGACTGGAGGCCGAAGCACAAATATCCTCGGGGATTATTATTAACATATGCTACTGAATGAAACGGAAAACGCTCTGTACATAGTAATGGTACGAACTTATGGTAATCGTAAATGTAGACATTAATATCTCTATTTACGTCGAAATCTAAAAAAAGCATTCGTCGTCTAGACAAAAGAAGAGTAATCGATTTTATTAATCGCTGTAACAAAATATTCATCTTTAATAAGTATAAGAGACGTCAGTAAACTTTTCTTACTAATATCTCCCTACATACAAGAGGCTTGCAAACTTTGTGTGTCTATACTTCATATTGTAAACTTGATTTGAGTTTTGATGATTATTTTAATAAATCGAGCAAATACTTTGTTGTGTTTTAACAACATCAAATCTCTGTTTAATAATTTGAGTGTAATACAAAGGCTGCGTTAGTTTTATTGAATTAATTATAAGTTTATTTGTACAAAATGGATAAATGCGAATATCAAGAACTGAGGAATCGAAAGGAATGTAAAAAAGAAAAGTTGTGGTGTTTTTTAAAACAGGTAAATATTCTATGTAACTATTTTATGGGAAAAATGACAAACAAGCAGACGGTCTACTAGGTGGGCAGAAGTGACCGTCACCTAGGGACATCGGCAACATATGTAGATGCGTTGCCAACCTTGGTTTTTTAGGAATAGGGAGGGATAGGAATAAGAAAGGACAGGAAAAGGTGGGAATAGGAAAAGGGCAACCGGTATCTAATGATATAAGAGATGGACCCTACCGGAAATATATCGGAACTTTTGTGAAAAAGTAAATATATATCTTTTTGGGTAATATGTTATTTAGACAGTTATAGATAAAAAGTGACAGTATAGTATCATAAATACTTTTCATAGTTCTTCCTAGCTTATTTTTGTTTACAATTTAATAACAAAAAAAGATAAGATATGAAATAGCATTCACATAGGTAACACAAATAATAATATTATGGTTCTATCTTACTTTCATTGCATTTGGTTAATTCTAGGTTTAACTTTATTCAAGAAGACGAATCTCATTGTTTGTTTTAACTTTTTAAACTAAAATATTGGTTCGCATATGTGAAGATGTTAATTTGTAAGTCAGTGGTGGCCTAGTGGTTAAAGGGTCCGCCTCTCGTTGCCGAGGGCGCGGGTTCAAACCTGGCAACCAATGTGATTTTTCGGAGTCATATGTACTTTCTGAGATTATTTAGACATCACTGACATACGGTGAAGGAAAACATCGTGAGGAAACCTGGACTTATAGTTTAAAAATTATAAGTTTGAAATCCTAACCCGTCTTGAGCAAGCGTGGTGATTAATGCTCAAACCTTCTCCATGAGAGAAAGAGGCCTTTGCTCAGCAGTGGGCGCTGATAGGCTGATGACGTAATTTGTAAGCGTTGTATAAATTTTATTTTCACAAACGAAAAAGTATTTGATTAAAATAGTGAAAAATATCTTTTATGTCTCTTCAGACGTAGATCTCTTGTGTCAGTGCGTCCATTTCCATGTTTTCGAAGTTTTCTCTAATTTATACGTTTTATTATATTTGATTTCTTTTTAAATAATATCATATTGAATCGTCATATTAACGAGCACTGATCAAATACATTAATGTTGCTTCCTTTTGAACAAGATGGTTCTTTAATTATATATATCTTTTTATATGAATATTTGTTATATAGTAAAATAACAATTAAATAAACAGAATGCAATATTTACACAAGGTTTTGTTTTTGACCTAACAGTAATTTTGTATATTATAAAGTAACTTGCGAAAAATTTAAATCCAAAAACGTAACATTATAACTTTTGGGGGCCATTGAAGGAAGATCCTGTGAATTTATCTTTTGTTAGTAGTTTGTAAATATGATTGAACTTTCTCTAAGTTTCTCTTTAAACTAATATTTAATTATTATTTATTTTAGTTATTAATATGCAGCACTGTTTGGATGCAATTCTTTCTGACCGGGTTGTCTGTGGGTGCTACAACTGTTATGGTCCCTCAACTAAAGCGAGAACAGTCCACTGAGATCGACCCTGAACTGATTTCTTGGTTATGTAAGTATATATTGAATATATCGGATTTATTACAAATTCGTTGTTTTTAAAGAGAGAGACGCCAGCCTCGCTGACGTCACTTATGTCACTTCTTGTAGAAACTTCCATGATATTTTAAAATGAAACTTCAATTGTTCTAAATTCCCTTGTATTTCTCGAAGGTTCTTCATAATCACAATCTTCAAAGGTCCGCACTGACTGAACTATCAACTCTGCCGTCGTGCGTTCAGACGTCATATTTATACCAAGATTTAAACATAGTTCTATTCTCCTTTTAAACAATCTTTGATTTCGTTTTACTTTTAACAATAATCATGAATACTAATGAATTTTAATAATAATTGATGACAGCCTCAAGTTATTTTCATGTCGCATCCGTTATTAAAGCTGATAGCGCCGATATACCTATACAATATAAATCTTCAAGGTCCGCCTTATAATGTTTCAAATTATTACTTATTTATTGGTTGTTAAAGAGTCAAATTATTTATCTGAATGCACCTTCTATTCGCGGATTAGACTGTTCTTAAAATAAAAATTACTACTCATGAAAACGGATTTTCCTACCAGTAGACGGTTCATCTTATTAAATAGTAGTAAGTGGTTAGCATAGTCCAAGAATATTTGCAAGAAAATACGTAGCCGGCTTTAAAGATGAAAATAGTCCCCGTCAATATGATTAAAAAATATATATATTGAAGGTCTTTAGATAATCTCGAATGGAAGTTCATTCATTCAATGTCCAAGGCTCTCAAGACATTAGCAACAAATATCTTCCTTAACGTGCAAGCATTCTCCGGCGGGTTACAGAAAAAGTTGATCAAGCCTGTATCCAAGATACTGTAGATAAAATGTAGGATTTGATATTTGGTCTCCATCAAGAACATTAGGTCCACCAATGCCGACTCACGTTGGTAATGATACACTTAGGTTGCAAAATCCACTTTTAGGGTGGATCGGCGAACTGCTATGTAACCTTTAACATTTAGTTATTTTTCTAAAAGTGAAACGCGACCTCACATTAACCTTCTGTGAGAAGTTGGTATTTCCCGGCTGAGCCAGCCCTAATACAAGCTAAAGTCTGGCTGCAGCTAGAGTCTACCACGTATTAATATTAGGCTGCGTTATCAGATATGAGGGCGCGGGTTCGATCCTGGCAAGTACCAATTATTTTTTTCGAGTCATATGTACTTTCTAAAAGTATTTAGCCATCACTGATTAATGTATTCCCAAAGAGGCTTGCTGCCAGGCAGGCGGTCGGTCGTAAAAACAATGTGGTCGTAAAAAACAAAACAAAAACTTACACAACATGTAAGGTAGACCATGACTAAGGCTGGGAAATTGCCAGGAAGAAGAAGAAGAGTTTTGTATATATACATTAATATTATATAAAATCTTTTCAGATTCAACAACAAGTTTTACAACCCTGCCCTGGGTGTTCATTCTGCCGTACTTCACTTCGCTGACAGGAAGAAAGTTCCCACAGATTGTGAACAGCGTCATCACGACAACTTCATTCGTCATATTGTACTTCAGTTCCAAAATAAAACACATCATCATCTCTGAAATAATTCAAGGTTACTTTCATGCGGCGAACATAACTTTTATGGTGGTCATACTAACTGACTATAGCTCTGTGAAGTATCGTGGTTTATTTTTGGGTATGAAATCAGCTAACTTTTTTTGGGGCATGTGGGTAGCGAATGCCATAGGTACCTTCTATCATTGGAAGAACATAGCGTTACTTGGAATAATATGTAGTTTGTATACATATAACGTAATTTTTTGGAAAGAATCTCCGGTGTGGTTAGCGAGCAAAGGACGGATTGAAAAATGCAAAAATTCCTTCAAATGGATCCATGGTGGTAACAAAGATTTAGAAAGAGAATTACAAGAATTGATATCAGATGAACCTAAAATAAAATATGAAAGAATTAGGTTTATTGATATGATTAGTGCTCCCGAATTTTACAAACCACTCTTCTTATCATTGATAGCAATAGCTCATTACCACTTTTCTGCTAAAATGGTTTGTAGTTTATTTGTGTTGGACATATTGAAAATTATTACTAAAGACGAGAACTCCGCTTACACGGGAATGTTAATTTTGGACGGAGTAACAGTATTTGGTACTTATGTAGGTTCCTATTTGGTAAAAATTTTAAAACGAAGGACTTTATATATGTTTACGTCGTGTTGGGTTGTTGCCTGCCTTTTAATTCTATCTTTATACTTATATTTAGTTAAATGGAAACTTTTAGAGCAAAATAACTATGTTCTGATGGTTTTCTTTTGTATACATTCAGTAGCCGTGAGCTGTGGACCAATAGTTCTGTCAGTTTCATTGTTTGGAGAATTAATAAGTTCGAGATTCCAGGCTACATCTTACACCATAACAGGAGGTACCTTTTGTATAATAAACATAATAATAGTGAAGTGTTCGCACCAAATGTTCCAAGTTTTCGATGTCAGCGGTACATTTCTTTTCTACGGTGTAATGTGCTGTATTTGCACTTCATATTTACATATGTATTTGCCAGAAACAAGGAACAAAACGCCCAAGGAAATAGAACTATATTTTAGACCTAAAGTTATTGCATAAATTTAAAAATTATAAGTATTAAGAATGTGCCTTAGTTTCATTTGTTATTGATTTATATATATGTACATCATAGTAATTTATAGATTATTGTTTTAATCTACATAAATAAATTATATTTTACGAAGTCAAGTGCATCTGTCAGGACCTGATCAAAGAACATGCTCACACACACACACACACACACAGACCGCGACATGTGTGTGTAATGTGATAAAAGCTTCAAATCAAGAGCATCTTACGAGAATCTTTTCAAATATGCCAAATCAACTGTCTCTCTTCCCGAAATAACTGTTGTTTTCAGGTAAGATATTTCTAGGTCCCGAGATTTAAGTAATTTGCTTATTTTAGCTTAGTCCGCAGTGTTTGGTCGGTCCCGGTCAGATGTCGTGGGCGTCTTTAAGGTCCCATGCGAGCGGAGCAACGTGGGGACATTATTACAGTAATATCTCAAAGGGTTTAAGCAGCGTTTTCGTTAAAAGATCCCAAACAGCTCATTTTTTCCCGACATCTTTAACAAATATTTTAATGCACACAAATCAATAAACTAAACCTAAACCTTAACAAATTATATATTAAAACCTTTCTCGAGAATCACGCTGTCGAATGGTGGAAGTCTCTTGTTAATTTGTGCAGTAGTTTCTCTGTTTTATAATATGTATTGATTACGAAATAATGCAAGTGATTAAAACTTATATATTTAGGTACAAATTGCATTACGTCACTTTGACAGATGTGGTTGTCATCGGCATTTACTTGCAAATTTAATATATGGGTATATGCAACTCATATGTAGTTTTAAATCCGTAACTAATGATAATAAATTTGGGATATTAAAGAGGATTGATGGCCATTAGATAATTTAATGATTAGACTTAAACACGGAATGTATGTATGTGTTAGACGTGGTTAATGTAAAAATTTATTTTGGCACAGATAAATATTCATCAGTCATTGTTAGAACAGTTTATTACAGAAACATTTTTAATATTCTAATGTGCCACACTGACTTGTACGTATGAGTACGAAATAACTTTTTTTTGAGTGAAGCAAGGGATCATAAACTCCTTATTTTTGTTAAATAGCTGTCAGATTTGAAGTTTTAGAGCCAGTTACATAAGTCTAGTATTATAGCAATAGTTTCTTTAAATAATAATATAGTCAGTGGTGGCTCAGTGGTTAAAGGCTCGCCTCTAGTCGCCGAGAGCGCGGGTTCGATCCTGGCCCGGGCAAGTACCAATGTGATTTTTCCGAATCATATATACTTTCTAAGAATATTTAGACATCACTTATTAATGTTGATTCCCTAAAAGAGGGTTGATGTCAGGCAGGCGGCCGGTCGTAAAAACAAATAGCCAAAAACTATTCAAACATATAAGGCAGACCCTGGCTATAGCTGGGAAATTGCCAGGTAGAAGAAGAAGAAGTTTCTTTAAATAAATATATGTAGTCTTCGAAATTTATTTGTCTGGAGTTTTACTAACAGATTTTTTTATTGTTTTAAGCCCTTATGAATCTAAATTCTTCTTTGATAATATTTCTGTATACGTACAAATAAGTAGATAGTTGTAGTTTATTTAACTATTTTAAATTATATATACTGTCTTTGTGGGCCAGATAAAACCCCATGTTCTTTATTGTTTAAGCATAGAGAGACAATGATATAATATAGACCAATATAATTCAAATAGCGTATATTCCCATAAATGATTAATTAATTTCTTAGTCGAACCTCAAAACAAACACCCATTGACTTCCTGGTAATTAACAACGCCATCTGCTGTTGTGTCTTTAAAGCAATTAGTAAAAGCAATTAGCAAAAGTAGTACATATTACTATTCGCCAATAGATGTCAGGAAGAGTCATATTTTAAACGACTACTTATTGTATTTTTTTAAATAAAGTATCAGTAATAAAATAACATTTTCTAAAAGTGATTCCTAGCTAGATCGATTTATCACCCCCGAAATCCCCTACATACATATGTGTACTCTGGAAGTTCTCCAGATAGTCTCTCATTTAGGTAATTTACAGAACATTGACATTAAGTTGCTAAAACTATTAAAAATAAATTGAAAGAACATTTTCCAAACGATGTCGAGTGTCATTTCATTAAAAGGGACATGATTATTTTATCCAAAAATGGTGTTGTAAGTAAGAAACTTACATTTTTTATTCACTGTCGGAATATAGAGATTTTAACGAACAAAAAAATTCCAAATTTTATAGAAAACCTGATATTTTGAGGGGTGATTTTTCGATTGAAAATGTGGCTGATTTTTCGGTATTTACTCAAAATGAGCTGAAAAAAATAAATATTTCTAATCAAATAAATTACAGTACATTTGTAACATCAAAAGGAAACTTTTCACCAAATTTCGTGACAAAAAATTGTTTTTTTGGAAAAAATAAAAAACAAAAAGCTAGGTTTTTGAACTTTTCACATGAATTTTGAGGTTATGTGAAAAAAATGTAAATACAAAAGTTTTTGATTTTTTTATTACCTACAACTTTGCCATATAACTTTTTTCCGTAGAACTTTTAGTTTTGCCGGAAATCGAGAAAACCCATTTTTTACCCTTAAATACCCATCCCCATACCCTTCAAGACCTCAGATCGCCCGTAAATTATTTTTTCTTTGATTTTTATAATATTATCCTCCTTTTCTAATGAGTTTCATTCTACTATAGTTTAACTATGTTTTAAAAGCTATCGGCACGGGTCTAAAATGACAATATTCAATAATAATAAAATTGCGAAAAAAATATATGAACAGTTTACCGACCAATCAGAGAGTCCCGTTTTGTTTGACAATTAAGGGACTTTCTACGACATTTTAAACAATACAAAATAATCAGTGATTCTTGAACACTATACACGTGTTTGTTTTACATACACACATACAAACATTTCCTGCATATATACACGAGATTTGTAGATCGTCCTTGAGAATTTTTGTATGAAAAATAAACAGAGAGTGGTTGTGTATACCGCCGCTCTGGCTGCATAGCGGCGCTAGCAGTTAGCAGCGGCCGATCGAAAATGTTTCGTTTTTACATTCATACATGGCACTTATTAACAAATCATGAATCAAATGTCATATTAAATGTCTGTAAACATTAAACACTATAGGTTTAAGTAGGATATGGAGTGCTGATTTGCATCAATGGTGTGCACGCCACTGTTATATAACTCAACTAGCTGTGCCCGCGACTTCGTTCGCGTGGAATAGTGACTATTTGACATGAAACAAACACTAAAGCATAACTGAAGCATACCACAATATATTCGTGAAAACCGCATCCAACTCGGATCAGCTGTTTCTGAGTGTTGGCGCAAACGCCTGTTAAAATTATGGAGCAATTTTGCATATGAAGGTTACGGAGCGATTTAGATGTAAGGCGCTTCGTTTATTGTAATTTAGTTTTTTACCTACCCTGTCATAAGATATGTAATACAATAAAATCATCATTGCAACTAATCTACGCCTTTTTAATATCTCCTCGTTAAATACTATCAAAATCCGCAACACTGAGATTAGCGTGAACAGACAAACAGACAAAAAATAAGTTAATTACATTTTTGGGTTCGACATCGACATAACAATAACCCCTGCTATTTTTTTTATTTTTATTTTCAATGTACAGACAGCAATTTTCTACAATTTTATTATATGTATAGATAAGAAATGAAACTCAGACACATTCTCGAGACTTATATTTCTTAAACTTACATTTATGCAATAACTTTAGGTCTAAAATATAGTTCTATTTCCTTGGGTGTTTTGTTTCTTGTTTCCGGCAAATACATATATAAATATGAAGTACAAATACAGCACATTACACCGTAGAAAAAAAATGTACCGCTGACATCGAAAACATGGAACATTTGATGCGAACATTTCACTATTATTATATAAATTATACAAAAAGTGCCTCCTGTTATGGTGTAAGATGTAGCCTGGAATCTCGAACCTACTAATTCTCCAAACAATGAAACTGACAGAACTATTGGTCCACAGCTCACAGCTACAGAATGTATACAAAAGAATACCATCAGAACATAGTTATTCTGCTCTAAAACTTCCCATTTTATCAAATATAAGTATGAAGATATAGATAATAGGCAAGCAACAACCCAACACGACGTAAACATATATAAAGTCCTTCGATTTAAAATTTTTAACAAGTAAGACCCTACATAAGTACCAAATACTGTTGCTCCATCTAAAATTAACATTCCCGTGTAAGCGGAGTTCTCGTCTTTAGTAATAATTTTCAATATGTCCAACACAAATAAACTACAAACCATTTTAGCAGAAAAGTGGTAATGAGCTACTGCCATTAGTGATAAAAAGAGTGGTTTGTAAAATTCAGGAGAACTAATCATATCAATAAACCTAATTCTGTCATATTTTATTTTAGGTTCATCCGATATCAATTCTTGTAATTCCCTTTCCGAATCTTTGTTAGTGCCATAAATCCATCTGAAAGACATTTTGCACTTTTCAATCCGTCCTTTATTCGCCAACCACACCGGGGATTCCTTCCAAAAAATGACGTTATATGTATATAAACTACATATTATTCCAAGTAACGCTATGTTCTTCCAATGAAAGAAAGTCCCGATTGCATTCGCCACCCACATTCCCCAGAAAAAGGAAGCATCTTTCATTCCCAAAAATAAACCACGATACTTCACAGAGCTATAGTCAGTTAGTATGACCACCATAAAAGTTATGTTCGCCGCATGAAAGTAACCCTGAATTATTTCAGAGATGATGATGTGTTTTATTTTGGAGCTGAAGTACAATATGACGAATGAAGTTGTCGTGATGACGCTGTTCACAATCTGCGGGAACTTTCTTCCTGTCAGCGAAGTGAAGTACGGCAGAATGAACACCCAGGGCAGGGTTGTAAAACTTGTTGTCGAATCTGAAAAGATTTTTATATCAGATTAGTATATACAATACATGAATATCTAATAGCGTATCTTATGTTAATAAGTGGTACACGTTAGCTACAGCCAGATTTTAGCTCGTATTAGTGCTGACTAGACTGCGAAAGTACCACCTTCTCACAGAAGGTCAATATGCGGTCGCGTTTCACTTTGCGGTTCGTTTGACTATTTGAGGAAGGCATTTACCCTTTAAACAGACCCTATTCTTTCCCAATACGTTAATACCTGTCACGGCCCTCAATCTGAGGCCCTCAATCAAGTCCATCCTGAACAATTGATAGTATCTATTGCCCTATGTTCAAAGGATAATTGACGAAACTGTGTAGCGCTGGCCGCCCATTAAATCTACTTAACTTTTTAGAGTTTATTAGGTGATCTAGCTGCCAACGAGAAACTACTGGAGTAGCACCGGGCTTTCAAAAGTAAGTTGGATCAGAGACTCTTCCGTTTCATAGAGTCATGGCTAATGGGCCACAATTTCAGACACCTATTTATATCAGAAGCCACAATATTTCACAGGAGTAGATGCTTTCTTTTCTTTTTCTTCAAAAGATACAAAAATCAAAAGATAAAGAATGTCACTTTTGTAAATATTAAGAGTTACCCGTCGGCCGTGAATACAGACTTTAGCATCTTTTTCTATAACGGGCCGGGAAATGCTTGTACATTAAGGAAGTTATTTGTTTTTGTACTGACAACCAAAGAGACTTTACAATTCTTTGAACTCGTGCAGATTAAGATGGCCTTGTTAAAGAAAAAGGGTGCAATTATATCTGGGCAGTGCTTTAAGGGAGTTTTGGCAGACCCTGGCTAAGGCTGGGAAATTGACAGCAAGGAGAACAGTGCTTTAGAAGGAGTTTTGAAGAAGACCTAATTACTAACTTGTTAGGTTTGTGACAACGTGAAGCATTTATAACTGACAATGATATAAACACACAAAGAAAGGATTGAAGAAGAATAATTAAGCGTGAAAAAATTTACTCGCTCATTACAATTGTTATAAAATTCATTTTCATGAGCAGCTATTTATTATTTTAAGGACAGTCTAAACGGCGAATATAATATGCATTCAGATAAATAATTTGTTTCTTTAACAACCAATAAATCCCAAATAATATTATAAATGCGAAAGTAACTCTGTCTGTCTGTTACTGATTTTAATGAAATTTGGTACAGAGACAGAGTTGACCTCTAGAAAGAACATAGAATAGTTTTTATCCCATACTTTTGAAAAGTTCTCTTGGAAACGCGATATAACCGAACTCCACGCGGGCGAAGCTGCGGGCGGAAAGCTAGTAAGTAATAATTTTAAAATGTACCTTTAGACATTTTTAGGGCGGACCTTGAAGATTTATGTTGTAATATATACTTACATAACCATGAAATCAGTTCAGGGTCGATGTCGGTGGACTGTTCTCGCTTTAGTTGTGGTACCATAACAGTTGTAGCACCTACAGACAATCCGGTCATGAAATACTGAGTCCAAATAGTGCTGCATATTAATAACTAAAATAAATAATAATTAAATATTAGTTCAAAGAGAAACTTAAAGAAGGTTCACTCATATTTACAAACTACTAATAAAAGAAAATACACAAAATCTTCCTTCAATGGCCCCCAAAATTATGTTACGTTTTTGAATTTTAATTTTGTGTAAGTTACTTTATAATTTACAGAATTACTGTTAGGTTAAAAACAAAACCTTGTTTAAATATAATTGTGTATTATAATAAATAGTATTGTGTTTATTTAGCTGTTATTTTATGAAATATTCGTATGAAATATTTTGATAATAAAGGGACCTTTATTCAAAGAGTAAACAACTGTATTTGAGCAATGTTTATTAATATGACGATTCAATATGATATTATTCAAGAAAGAATCAAATATAATAATATGTTCTTAGAGAAATGAATGAATGAATGAATAATGGAATTATATACAGTGTAAACTCTATATAACCGCCGTTAAATAGAGGGAGGAAAAATCAGAATTAGAAAAAGACAAAGTTTGTTTCAGACTACTGTTAGTACTTATGTACATAAAAAAGAATGTTATAAAGTCTGTTGTTTTTGTATGACGTCTTTTGCTGCACCAGTAATGTTGTTGTATTTTTTACGTATTTTATTCATATCTTGCGATATTGAGGCATATTGGTGAAGAACGAATTTCTTAGAAAGTTTGGTATGCATGATTACGACAGTGGAGTTTATTGCGGGCTAGGATAACAAAGCGACAAAAAAACGTACACAGCTGCGCATTTTTTACTCATTTTAGCAACTTAAAGGGTACTTTTATACTTAATTTTGTCGTTATTGAGAGTGGCTGTGACGCTATATAGAGTGTGCCATTGTATGGTAGACAAGCTAAACCAACCAAAGTCAAATGATTTCGACGCTTTAGAGAGTTTGTCGTTAAATCGAGTGTCGTTATATGGAGTTTACACTGTATTATAATTTTTTTCTATGGAAACTTTATTTGAAAAAAAAAACAACAAATTAAAAAATTCCAACGAGTACTCTTTGAATTTGTGGATGAAAAATACATATATACAACGCTTAAATAAATTAACTTTCAGAAAACTGAATCTCGCTTATAAAAAAAATTAAACCAACTGGTGCAAAAGACAGTCAGCTAAAAATAATAAAATAAATCTTATCTCTATATATAAAATAATGTGGCATTAGTTACACTATTTATAACTAAAGAACGGTTGTAGGGATATGATTGATAATTGGTGGAGCAATAAATTTGAACAAGGAGACGGACATAGGATATTTAATTCTGTTCGATTAAAAAAACTTAATAAACTCCAATATCTGGTTATCTACGGCTTCTAGGGCGGGATAGAGTTCGCCCGGTCAGCTATACATATATTAAACTATAGGCTAACTAAACTGAAATTAACGCGGACGAAGTCGAGGGTAAAAACTAGTAAATATTTTAAAGTAAATATATCATATCTGTCTTTTCATAACAAATCTATGAATATTTAATTAAAAGAAATATAATTGCATTGTTCTTATTATTATAACGATGTTATTTTAATTTAAAACATCTTTTACATTTTAAATTTAATATATTCTGTGATAATTAAAGAAAATTAAATTGTATTTAAAGTGATACATAATAATTATTTCTGATAGCCACCATATCTTATATTACATTGAGTATTTACCTGTTTTAAAAAACACCACAACTTTTCTTTTTCACATTCGTTTCGGTTCTTCAGTTCTTGATATTCGCATTTTTCCATTTTGTACAAATAAACTTATAATTAATTCAATAAAAACTAACGTAATCTTTGTATTACACTCAAATTATTAAACAGAGATTTGATGATGTTAAAACACAACAAAATATTTGCTCGATTTATGAAAATAATCGTCAAAACTCAAATCAAGTTTACAATATGAAGTATAGACACACAAAGTCTGCAAGCCTCTTGTATGTAGGGAAATGTTAATACGAAAAAATATTTGACGTCTCTTATACTTTTTAAATAAAACTATTTTGTTACAGTAATTTACTTTCAATGACTTGTTTAATTGATGAAAGATAAGTCTGGAGTGCGACATTAACGTCTGCACGTTACGCTTACCAAAGTTTTCATTACAATACTACATACAGAACGTTCGGCGTTACACATACAATTATTAATAATACTAATGTGTGAATATGAAAAAAATATCAACGCTTGCTTTAAATGACGATACAAATTTCATGTGTGGATTATTTATACATTTTTACGGATTTTTATTTTTCTTAGAAGTATCTTTTTGTACCGAAGTAGTCCAAACATCAAAACTAGATAGTGACACTCGGTTAGCATGCATAAAAATTATTCAGTTTTAACTACTATTGAAATAAAACATCGCAAACGAAAGCATTTGAGTAAAACAGCAGGTTCAAGAGGTAAGTACAACCAGACTACATAATATTTAATGCGGTACGACGAAAAAATATCAGTTGATAAAAATGCTTTCGAATGAATAATGAATAACTTGGAATAATAATTTTAAAAGGTTAAAATTTGGACTCCTGTAATTGCAAAAGAATTCAAGTCTGATAATTCTTGTACAAAACTAACAATTTACATGGTCCCTTGCTTTACGCAAGAGACGGAACCTCTCATCATTCCATGTATTCACCGTGCGGGTGCCGGGTCCATCGTTGTAGTGAGAGGAGCTTCAACAGTGACTGTGACTTGTGACCCAGGTGTAGGTTTAAGGGATACTTCATACACTACACTCTACACTCCGAGTGTCGTGTAGTAAGCTATACGTAGTGTAAGTAACCGAATCTTATGTCATAATATCGAAGTTTTTTAAAGTTTCTTACGGTTTTAACACTATGCAGATGACATCCATACACTCATATAGTCATATATTAAATTTGTTAATGAATACCCGTGAAATTGTAAGCTGTAAAATGGACAATTCTCATTATTATGATAAATTTTTATTTGAGAAACTTCATTTCATTACACGTGGAAGTAATAATGTTGATTTGATTGTTTTAGTACATCATACGTTGAGTTTAATTCGTAAAATAAATTTTTAATTACCTGATAGGATATTAATTTAAAATAGAGTATTAATTTAATTAAAAAATCGAACTATATGTGTAGAATTTCAAAGGCACTTTTAAGAGTACCAAACCTTATACATGGACGCATAAGGTTGTCGAGTTAAAAATATAAAGAAACGAAAGTAATACAACTGGGTCTTTTAGGAAACGCGTAAAACTATGGACTGTGGTGAATCCTTTTTTCACTTTCCTATTATTTTACTTTTCCTTTCTGTTTGCTTAAATTAACCCACTTGGAATTGCAATATATATAAATGTACATGTAATAAATTCCATCTTAAAAGATAAGCTGTTAATTCTGTTTGGACTCATGTATACACCCGCTGATTGCAAAGGAATGCTACCTAATCTGGATAGGTCTAAAATTAGCGTACTTTCTTGTGTAGTTTGTAAATAGTCTTGATTGAAACCTTCACATATAGTAGTATTGCAGGTTGTAGCTCAACTGTAGGTGGCTTCAAGTGGTTTTTGTTATGCTGGCGAGGCACGGATAGGCTGTTGATGGTCATAGCATATTTTACATACTGCGGTTCGGCCTCTAGGTGGTCAGCATTACAAAGAGTTTGCGCTGTTTGAAAGAAATATTTGCCATTTGTAGCTATTTGGATAGAATGGTGTTGTGAGTTACTATTGAGATAACTATCTTTGTATGTGTGTGTGGGTTTCCTATAAACAGTAGGTCCCAAAGTATTAGCAGGATTCCTATAGATAAATATATCCAGAAATGCTTCAGTATTATTTGCCTCTAATTCTATAGTAAATTGAATCTTGGTCTTCATAGAATTATGTGGTTAATAGAAACAGATGTTTTATTTTTATATAATCTTGTGGTAATACATATAAATTATAACATCACATAGTTTTGGTTGAAAGTTACGAACAAAAATATCGTGAAAAATTTTCATATTTATGACTAAGATGGTAGGAAAGTGTACGGACAAGAAAAGAAAAATATTTCAGAATGAATTTTATTTAAAACAATTACTTTTATATCACAATAACAACAAACATTATTATCTATTCATTTAACTGCTTCACATAATGACTGAAATGATTAGCAAAGTATTTTAATATAAATTTTTCAGTTTCTGCTGAGGGGCCGTTCAAGTATTACGTAAGCACTATTGAGGGGCGGAGGGGTCTTTGCTTTGCTTATTTTAGTTGACATGGGGGGTAGGGGAGTCTAGGTGATGATTACGTCATCGGTAGTTATTTACTTTTTTATCATCACATCGAGAAGATCCATAAAAAATATTATTATAATTTTGTTATGGATTTATATAAAAAAAAACAATATAGTAATTGAAAATGTTTTCGTAAGCATGGGGGAGGGGGTAAGAGCTTTGCTTACTTTTGCTGACAAGGGGGATGGGGGGGGTAAATATTTGTAATAAATCTGCTTACGTAATACTTGAACGACCCCTGACAGATACAATATTTCTTTCTATTTAATATTTGAAACACATCGATTTGTTGCCTTAAACTAACATTTCCAAGTCCTTTAAACTTTGTGTCAATTCTAGTTAAGTGGTCAATGAGAATTCATTTAACAATTTTCTTTACAAATTCTTCCTTCACAAATGTGTATATAATTCACAGCTCCACTTAGACTGGTTTCTATTTCTCCAAACCTTCCTCATGTACCACGATTCTTTGAGTGGCCACTATATTATGAACTCTCCGTCTGTGTGTGTATAATGACGCGCTTTGTCTGAACGTACGACCACAAATATCACAAGAAAGCGGCCTCTCACCTGTATGGATGAGTTCGTGTTCTCGAAGACACTTCTTGTCCTGATTATATTAATAAAGTGACATAAATTGATCTGTTCAGCATGTCAAAACTAGTTTTTAAAAAAGCTATAACTAAAAAAGATCAAAATTCATAATAACAAACATACACACACACACACACAATCATGCAAACACGCACCTATTGGATTCCCACCCGTACCTTTATATTACATTTATACTATAAGTTTTACTTTTATGCTACTGTCTTCTAGTTGTTAATATATTTAAGTTACCTGTGTAATCCTATTTTGGTTTTAATTTTATGTTATATAATAGTTAATATAGAAACTTATGTATTAAAACTGTTGGATTACCAAATAAATAAAATAAAATAAATAACTCATTGTGACGCGACATAACTTGACGTGACACGATTAAACGTAACTTGACATGACGTTCCGTATCGCGTCATCCTACTAATTTTATAATTGCGAAATGTTTTGAGTGTGTGTATGTTTGTTAATTCTTCACGCTCAAACGGCTGTCCCGATTTTGATAAAATTTTGTATATAGGAAGCTGACGTCCAGGAATAACACATAGGCTATTTTACATCCCGGAAATCCGCGGGTAAGACCGCGGGGCGCAGCTAGTTTAATAGTGAGACATTTATTTGAATTCATTCAAATTATAAAACTACTGTATTTTAAATATATTCGTCAATAGAATTAATTTCAATCATAGTCAGAAGTCATACAAAACATTATCTACATCAATTCTATAATTATTCAGTACCCGACAGACACACATACCTACTAATGTTATAAATGCGAAAGTAACTCTATCTGTCTTTCTGTTACGCTTTCACGCCTAAACCACTGAACTGATTTTAATGAAATTTGGTACAGATATAGAGTTGACCTTGAGAAAGAACATAGGATACTTTTTATCCCAGACTTTTGAAAGGTTCTCTTGGGAACGCGATATAACCGAACTCCACGCGGGCGAAGCTGCGGGCGGAAAGCTAGTTCACATATATACAAACCCTGAACGTCTTGCCGCACGTCTGACATATCTTGTCCTTGTCATTCTCTTTGATCCCGTGATGCGCTCTCTTGACGTGGCGGGTTATACACCTACGTGTCGCTAGGGCCTGAAGTATATTGTATATATATACATATATATCATACATATTTTCCCTAACATTAACTTTGTTATTTTTTGTGTCAATCTATCATGTATTTCATCTAACTATATTATTGTTATACATCACTATTTGTGTCATAATTATGTCATCTTTGTGTCATATATTACCTTACTACATATAGGACATTTGTGTAGCGTCTTTCCCATGTGTTGATAGTTCACGTGATCTCGTAACTCGCCGGTAGATCTATAGCCTTTTTTGCATTCAGGACATTTGAATCTAAAATGTATTGTCTTCTTCTAATTCTATGACAATTGATTTATAAATGCAGTTCAGTGTATTCTTCTACCTGGCAATTTCCCAGCTTTAGCCATGGAAAATGGAAATGCATTATAGTATAATGTGAAGGATATTAGTGTTAATATTGTGATAATTAGTATTTGGAGCAAGCTAGTGTAGTTACAGAAAATTATCAAGTGTAGAAGCCCAGATTGATACTTTATTTCTTATAAATTGTACATTGCATTGGTACTTATATTCCAAAGGGAATAAGGACTAGTCAGAAACATTAGATTTTTTTTATGATTCAGTTGAAGTTTTACAGAACATTATGATGTCTGCCGGTCTGTTATATAGATATCTAATTAGGCAGACCCTGGCTAAAACTGGGAAATTGCCAGGAAAAAGATAATGTATGGTTAAATTTCACGTGACCTTAGAAATTACAGATAATTCTTCTGAGTTGATCTGATATTATCAGTAGAAAAGGAAGAGGAATATGTTTTGGACCTTATTTCAGTCAGACTAAAGTTTGATTTCCTTGATCAAACATAAATACGAAATATACGATAAGATACGAAATAAGAAATAACGGGTGTTTTTTTTAGAGGTATAGAACTTTGAAATAAAATAAAACAAAAATGATTTCTTTTATTGATATGAAATATAATATTTTGAAAAGATAATATTCTTTCATTATAATTTAAATAAGATTTCAGGCATATGACCTCCACGACTGGTTCGTACGTAGTTTAATCTGGAGGTCCATTTTTCAACGACTTTTTCCAACATTCGTGACTGTATATCGGCAATAACGCGACGAATGTTATCCTCCAAGTGATCAACGGTTTCGGGCTTATCAGTGTAGACTAACGACTTTACATATCCCCACAGAAAATAATCAAGCGGCGTTAAATCGCATGACCTTGGGGGCCAATTCACGGGTCGCAACATGAAATTATGCGGTTACCAAATGTTTCTCTTAATAAATCAATTGTGGCATGAGCTGTATGACATGTTGCACCGTCTTGTTGAAACCAGAACTCCTGAACATTATGGTTGTTTAATTAATGAACGAAATAGTCACTAATCATCGCTCTGTAGCGGTCACCATTGACTGTAACGTTCTGGCCAGCATCGTTTCTAAAGAAGTACGGACCAATTATTCGGCAGATAGACTGATTCGGGTCTTCTACGCTACGCTCCACAGCAGAAATAACTTCTTCTGTACGCACTGTAGGACATCTCTGTGGATGCGTATTATCATTTAGAGTAATTGTAGTGCGAAAACGTTCCATTGTTAATCAAATTAATTATTCTGATGGACGATTATGTGGACCTTAAAATGGACGTAGTGCGCGATACGTTTTTCGAACAGAGCCATGATTTTCAAAATTAATTTGCACAATTTGGAGGCATTCTTCAGGCGTTAGTTCTATTCATGATGAATTGCCAAACCAAATTAAACACAAATCACTGGACAGCTATCAAAATAACTGCCAGTTAAAAAAGTATTGGCAACTTAAAGTTGTATATCTCTAAAAAACACCCTTTACCTCTGATCTACCAAATTCTAGTACATAAGCTACATTAATACATCTTATATATAAAATTCTCGTGTCGCGGTGTTAGACAGAGAACTCATCCGAAACGGATGGACCGATCTTGATGAGATTTTGTGAGCATATTCAGTAGGTCTAAAATCGGCCAACATCTATTTTTCATACCCCTAAGTCATAAGGTTGTTCACTTTTAAGGATTTTTTTTTATATTTGGACGAAATTTTTTATTTTTTTTATACTTAATGTATATTAAACATACATACAACCCAAAATGTTTACATGTTTATATGGCAAAACAACGTTTGCCGGGTCAGCTAGTATAATAAAAATTTCGTCTTTTAGACCAAAAACACCAAGATTATTGCAATAATTTATATACATACTTCAAAATATCTCCAACTGCGTGTGTTTTAGCATATTTGAGATGATTCTCGTATGATGCTCTTGATATGAAGCTTTTATCACACGCCACACACACGTGTGTCTGTCTGTGTGTGTGTGTGTTAGCGTGGGCCTTCATTAGGTCTTGACGAATGAGTTTGCCACATGTGGGACACTGCTCTCTGGGCAATGGCGTAGAATGTACCCTGGAGTATCACGAATATTGTGATACACAAGATTTTCTACCTAATATGGGTCAGTTTGATTGGTGTTTAAGAAAGGATGACTTTAAGCCATATTTTTCTATGTAATGTGATATATTTACATTTATGATTCTAACAAAATCCTCATGAAAATATAGTTTTCTTATAAAGCCAGTACTTTTAAATAACAATAAAACCTTAACTAGAGCAAACTAATTATTATCTTATGCCAAAACACCTTAATTGAGTTAAATTCTATTAACAATAATACAAGTCGTGTTCACAACATACTTTCCCGCGTTAAAAGAGAACAAGCCAAGCGTCATCGCTATAATATCACTTCGCGTGCGTTCGGGAATGTAAAGGTTCGGTTCGAATAAAAAGTGTGTTCCCTAAATCTTCTTCTTCTATATATATATAAAAATGGATTGCTGTTCCTTAGTCTCGCTAAAACTCGAGAACGGCTGATCCGATTTGGCTAATTTTAGTCTTGAAATACTCCTGGAGGTCCAGGGAAGGTTTAAAAGGTGAGAGTAATTGGAATAATTGCCGGGAAAACCCTAAAAACACCCCTTTTCTATTTCCCATACAAACGTTTTTTTTGACATTAGATTTGATAACTAACTAATATGTCAATCATTCTGTTTGATTGAAACAGGAAAAATCTGATTATATATGGCCTCTAAGACGGAATAGAGTTGGCCTGGTCAGCTATACCTACATATAATACTCTTGACCAAACTAACGCGGACGAAGTCGCGGGCAAAAACTAGTTTACTATATATTATATAATATATGTGTATGACCTTTCGTGCCTGGTGAGTGTGTTTCTAAACGCGAACCTCTTTCCACATGAGTCACACTTGTACCCATCTCTGTGACACTTCTGTGTGTGTTTGTATCTTTTGTTTTTGTTCCTGGAAAAATGTATTTCAATCATCTTCAGTAATCTTGCAAAAGATTTTTTGGTGGTGAAGGATGAGATGGGATAGGATTGTAGGGGATTTTTTTGGTGTTGGTTTGAATATGCTCATAGTCTTTCCGTCTTTGGAGAAAGGCGAAAATGACTATTAGAGTCTTACTGACTAAAAACCAACCCATGTTCCTCGTATACCTATGAGTATGACGGGCAGGTATCACAGAAGCATTTATCGCTACCCCTAATAGGTATTGACCCACTAGATGGTCAGGCAGATTCTGCCACCTACTACGGCCTTCACTCGGCCACAAGACTCAAATATGGCGCGCTGAACACAACACTTTCCGGCCACAAAATGCCCAGAATCTGCCGTCCACAAGATATACCCTATGGTTACTAGTATTCGGCTACCCTACGACGCTCAATGTGTCTTTTACTGAATGGAATAGAGGAGGCAGATTCTCTCTACCTTTCCGCCACCTCCATTGCAAGTATCACAGGCTCGCAAAAGGTAGAAATCTACCATGGCATACACTGGCATATAAAAATCTACCATGGCATACACTGACAAACACTGGCTCGGCCTAAACTGAGCTCTCACCAATGTACGCAATACCGTATCGTCTCAGGAATCACCAGAATAGTATAATAGTAGCCTTTGTATATTTGCTCCTGGTCTATGATACATAAGAACATCCCGAATGGAAGGGATGGGATAGGATAGGATGGGATAAGATGGGATAGAATGGGATATATAGTATATATACTAATACTTACTCAAACCATTTATTACATTCTGTACATAGACACCCCACCGTCTCTTTATCCGGTGTCTTACATTCATTTGGTTTTCTTTTCACCTGTAATACATGTGTAAATTTTTATTTAATTATTTTAAATATTAATAAGATTATCAGTCTTTATATACAACTAGCTACGTTGAAGTTACATGAAAATCAGTCCAGCTAAAAAAATCACTCTATAGGATAACTATATATATACAGACCCTGGCTAAAGCTGGGAAATTGCCAGGAAAAAGAAGATATATATTATTTCATACCTTTTTGTACTCAACATCCACACCATGATTTTTCTTCAAATGTGTATTCATTCTATCAATTTTATATGCGACAAACTGACAAATATCACATACATGTTTTGTATAGTGGCTCTGTCTGTGGTGCTTAAAACTCTTTTGTTTCACATACGCCTTACATATGTCACACTGAATGTGGTTTGGTCTCTGTAAATTAGGACAAATTATTATATCTTCTATATATATAAAAATGGATTGCTGTTCCTTAGTCTCGCTAAAACTCGAGAACGGCTGAACGGATTTGGCTAATTTTAGTCTTGAAATACTCCTGGAAGTCCAGGGAAGGTTTAAAAGGTGAGCAAAATTGATTCATTACTGGGAAAACCATAAAAACAGCCCTTTTTTTTTGTTTTTTTTGACATTAGATTTGACATTAGTTTTTTTTGACATTAGATTTGACAACTTTTTGACATTAGTTTTTTTTGACATTAGATTTGACAACTAACAAATATGTCAATTCTGTTTGATTGAAACAGGAAAAACCTGATTATTTATGGCCTGTAAGACAGAATAGAGTTCGACTGGTCAGCTACACCTACATATATTACTCTTGACCAAACTAACGCGGACGAAGTCGCGGGCAAAAACTAATATATATATAAAAATGGATTGCTGTTCCTTAGTCTCGCTAAAACTCGAGAACAGCTGAACGGATTTATCTTATCTTAGTTTTGAAATGTTCGTGGAGGTTCAGGGAAGGTATAAAAGCTGAAAAAAATTGATTCATTACTGGGAAAACCATAAAAACAGCCCTTTTCTTTTTCCCATACAAACGTTTTTTTTTTACATTCGATTTGACAACTAACTAATATGTCATTCATTCTGTCGCACTTCAAAACACGGAGATTTATGGCTTACAGTTAACTCCAAAAATATAAATAAAAACACGCAATAGATATTTCTTGATTATAGAGCGATACGAAGTTCGCCGGGTCTTCTAGTATACATATAATTAGTCAGTGGTGGTCTAGTGGTTAAAAGGTCCGCCTCTCATGCATGAGGGGGCGGGTTCGATCCTGGCAAGTACCAATGTGATTTTTCCGACTCATATGTACTTTCTAAGAGTATTTAGACATCACTGATTAATGCATTTCCAAAGAGGGTTGATGTCAGGCAGGGTCGTTAAAACAGTTAGCCAAAACTATTCACAATATGTAAGGCAGACCCTGGCTATAGCTGGAAAATTGCGAGGTAGAAGAAGATACTATTATAGTATTAATTTAAACATATAATAAATAAGAAGAAGACAGACCATTGTCTGTCGAGTCAGGTGTACATAATTAAGAAATTAACTTCATTGAGATAAAAAGGTAACAGATATTTCTTGATTATAGGGCGATTCGAAGTCCGCCGAGTCAGCTAGTATAATTATATTCTTTGTATAATAATTCAAAATTTCTCTCCGGAACTAATTTAGTAACTTTAAAGTTATTTCTGGTCTGAGAATGTAAGAAAAACTATAATAACATTTTACTAATAAACTTCTCAAGCCATTTATAACTTAATAAAACTGTGTGTCAGTGCTTTTTACTTGCCTGTACATGTAATTTCATGTTGTGCCGCTCCAAACATTTATAGTCCTTAAAAACTTTAACACAAGATTCACATTTGCTTGAACTTTTCATGTAATAGTCATTTTCTTTCTGTATTTTTATACTCTCTAACATTTCCATTTCCGTCATATCATATTTTGAACATCCATAATCAACATATTTATTATCTGTCTCATTTTCTACACAGCCAATGTCAATATCATTCGAAAGAGGTTGTATATCTTTACAATTATTTAAATATAAATCTGCCAACGGTACATCATCTGTGTCAGTTTCGGTCTTCAAAAAACTTATATCCGGGCCACAGTCTACAAAATTATCTGGTTCTGATGTATTTTCTATAATAAAATTGTATTTATCTTGATGGTGATACTGTAGTTTTGATAGACTGTGGTAATTTTTCTGTAATAAGATTAAGATATATTTTTTTAGCCTCACAATATATTTCATAGAACCAAAACTAAAGTTATAGTACATTTTATGTAACTTATTTTTATTATATTTATTATATCTAAGTCTAATATTTTCAGTATAATATATGTTATAATTATTTTGTTTACACTATATATTAAACTAAGTCATACAATTTTTATCTATATTATATTACATAAAACTTAGAATTCCACTATATTTTATACATATAACTAAAAGTGCAATATTCCTGCAAGTAATTATTTTAATATAATATTCATAATATTATTATGAAAGATATATAATATAGGAAAATGTATTAAAAAATATATGCATACACAATATATTTCAATATTATATACTATTACATTTTTAATGATACTTAATCTATTCACTCACAAGATTCCTTCCATCAATCACCTCCGACAACTGTTTCTGTGCGAGCTGTACCTGTTTTCTGAATCGTTGTAGTCTGTATATAATAGCTTTACACTCCCAACATATCGAGAACAGAGATGCTCGCTTGTTGAATATTTCCTGATAGTAGAAATAAATATTATAATTATTATAGACATACATTAGTATCACTAATAATAGTATTTTAACCGCCAGTAGTGCTTGTCTTAAATACAAGTTTAATTTAAGATCAGCAAAATAACAGTTATATTAGTGTATATATGAAATAATAGCCACTGCATGTATATAATCTAATATTTATTATTTTTAATGTATATCAAATTAAATTATGTACGATTTTTTAAAATAAGATTTAATATTTCTCTTATTGGAATATATGTTTAATTACAAAATATAAATTGCGTATTAATATTTAAAATGAAATATGTATTAATACGAATTAAGTTTTTATTTTTAAGCATAAATTACATAATATATATAAAAAATAGTATACATCTATTAATAATTTTAGTGATAAATATATATTTATTACAAAATACAAGCATATTCTCACTTCGTAAGCTTCACAGTTGTATGAAAGTAGAAAGAATAAACTATTTACACCATCCTCAACTCGGCACAGTTTCGTAAGCTTCCTATCAACACTCAAACATGTACAACATATTGTTTTTAATTTAATTTCAAAATTTTCTTCCATTATTTACTATTTTTTTTATAACAAGTTTGTTTATATCTGAATTGTAAACATGATTGACATTAGCGAAATGTCAATGGATGATTTTTTTTTTGGCAGGGGTTTGAACATATACAGCCAATATAGTGTTTTTTTTATCAATTCATACAAAATCATATACGTAGACTTTCAATAGTTACAATAATTGTAATGTATATTAAACTAGCTGACCCGGCAAACGTTGTTTTGCCATTTAAAAAACTAGGCATTGGTGTTAAAAAAGTAATTTTTTTTGGGTTGTATGTATTTTTAATGCTTCAGTAAAAAAAAAACAAAAAAATTTAGTAAAAAAAAAGTTAAGGGTGAACAACCCTTATGACTTGGGGGTATGAAATATAAAGTTGGCCGATTCTCAATATGCTCACAAAATTTCATCAAAATCGGTCATGTCGTTTCGGAGGAGTTCTCTCTAAGACCGCGACAGGAGAATTTTATATTATATAAGATTGAAGAGTCTTCAATGTAGTCCATTAAGGAAATTCTTCAAATATAATGATTTCACGTTCTGCCTTTTTTATTAAATCGACAAAGTAATGTATTATACAGATATTATAATATTAATATTTAAGGATATTTTTATTGTTTTATTACAGTAAGGATATTTTTGTTATGTTTTACTACAGATTTTCCAGCTATAAGGAAACGACATTGGAATTACTGAACTTCAATTTTATCGTCTTCAATATAAAACTTATTACATAACACATCTGATATGTTTAGACTCTGGAGTACTTGTACCTATTACTATTTGGAGATATATCTTTTTTGTTTTCCAAAATTATTCTACATTTTTTTCCTCAAAAAGCACAACAGCACTGCAAAATCCACTTCTTCTATTATGCTTTCTTTAATTACTTATCATTCTATTTTGGAAAAAATCTTCTGTTTTTTTGATATTGTACATATTGTGTTTTCTTTATTGATCATATTAATACACAAAGATTTTCTTTCATTCGTTATAATTAAATATAAAAAGTGTCTCAGCAACTTCAATTATTGTAATATATTACACATTAAGGGACAGAAATCAGTCGGAACAGAAATAAGACGCAAAAGTGAAAAGCCAATATATCGTAGTCTAACCAATACTTATAGACAAGGGAAAGTTTTTATAAACTTTACTGACTATGGAATGTACAGTACTGTTCACTAATTATTACTTATTTTGTAATCCTGGAAATTACGCATCACGAGAAGACCCAAAAGCTTACTCTAAAAATAAGGCAGAAGTGTGAAACTCATATCTATACATCATGAAAAATATTAGAAAGTAACGCCTTCTGCAATTCTGGGTTCGTCAACTTATTAAGTTGTACGCCGTTGAAAATAGATGGCGGTTTCTTAAATATTCAACTTTATTTTTGAATTCCAAGTTCTTTGCAAATTTTTTTTTGTCGTATGCGTTGCTTCAACTATTGTTTTATTTTTATTACGATTCGATTTGTTTACGGATTTCTTAATCTCCAATGATCTATTTTATTACAGTGCAAAGTTTAGCACCACGGATAGATTAGCATATAATCAATTGCATGCCATTTTAAAGTTGATGGGAAGTCTTTATCGACCCCGACTCAAAAAGAAGGTATATATTTCTTTGTTGTCTATAGCTGAGACTGTGGCTACACCAGAAATGAATAACTGGATTTTAATTATTTTTTTCAAAGCGAATCAAGATTGCATCTAATGATAAGTTACTAGAATAACATGTTAAGAAATTGTTTTTTTAATCTATAGTTGAATGCTTTTGTTTACTTTAGATGAGAAAATAATTAAAAATACTTACTGTTAGTTCATCCATAATTAAATAATATGTATTTTAAACGTTTTTACAAATAAATAAAATGAAAACGGCGCCGACTATTAACAAATCAAGGAAACAAGACTACTCAAAAAACCCATCTAGAATTAGGGGTCCTGTACTTAGCTTATATATATAAATGCTTTAATGGCTGTATTAGTAAGTATTACCTTTAGTCTTTACATAAAAATATGACAAGTAAAAGAAATCTTTACAGCCCATGAAACTTATCTTATGATTAAACTCACCAACTAGCATATGCAGGTAAATAATGATAGGCAACATTAATTTATACATACATCCCTACTAATATAAATGCGAAAGTAACTCTGTCTGTTACGCTTTCACGCCTAAACCACTGAACTGATTTTAATAATTAGGTACAGATATAGAGTTGACCTTGAGAAAGAACATAGGATAGTTTTTATCCCAGACTTTTGAAAATTCTCTTGGAAACGCGATATAACCAAACTCCACGCGGGCGAAGCTGCAGAAAGCTAGTATGAAATAAAACAACATATATATTTATTATACACATATTATTATGTTTATAATTAATTTCTCTTGTACGAGTGCGCGTGTAGGCGTCTTTTTCTAGCAGGAGGTGGGGTGAGGCCGGCGTGGGCTTGAGCAGCTACTAACATAGCCAATTGACACTGAGCCTGGAATTAATATCAATATAAAATATTATATACAGAGATATTGGTGACAAACATACATACATATCGGAGATATTATAAAACGCGTAACTAGCATTGTATAAACGCGTAGCTGCTTTTCAATTAAGTTAACACCTAAAAAAAAATCTGAATTTAATGACGTTTAAGATATTTTTTTTCACAATTATTTGGTTTTCATCACTCGTAAATAAAAGTACAAGTCGTTAATAGAAAATATTTCAGCTTAAACTTTCTTCTGTCAATCTGCTTCTAATGTAGATACTCGGAATTATTCAATGCTAGTTTGCACTATTCCCGACTTATATAGACATTATGTAACAAATTTTAACTGAAGTGAAACTTCGAGTGCAACTTCCAATAAGGTTGCGTTAAACGTTCAACGCTCTTGAAAGGATAGAAAGAGACGGAGCGAAAGTGAATAAGTCAATTGTGTATTGTAAGCAATGTTTATAAAGTTTGTCTTAAAACAATATACGTTCACTAAAATTGATTTTGCTATCTTCTTATTTTTATTTCTACATCACGAAGTTTCACTTCACTTCAGATGAACTTCACTCACTATTTTCTTGTGTATTTTAATATGTTTTATATAATATACAATATTCTATAGATATCAGAAGAATATCTCAAAGCAATTATATGACTATCAATATATTTACAAGACCTATCATAAATTTTAATAATTTGATCATACAAGTAAATTTATTTTCTTTATAATGTTTCCTTCTCAAATTTCTACATATTTGTAGTATATATATCATAGTATGTATGTATGTATGTATGTGTGTTCGTCATACCTCCTGGTGCATCTCTTTAGCCATGCTGTACACGCTGTGTGAGCTACTATTGTACAGGAGAGCGTTGGACAACATTAAGAGAACGTCTCGCTGGAACTCAGCTGTTGTACTGGAAACAAATACAAACACATATATGTAAATAGTTTAGTAAATAGTTCAGTATGTTTGAGTAAAAAGCTATTAAACACATTGTTTTTAGCATATATATTATATATAAAGTTTGGATACTTCTGGTGGTGTTTATAAAGTTTTTTCACAAGTAGTAATTATATAGTGTTTGATAATTGTGAAAAAAAAAAATACTTTAAAAGTCGTTAATTTAGAAAATATTTCAGCTTAAACTTTCCTCTGATAATCTGCTTCTAATGTGTAGATACGTGGAATTATACAATTATAGCTACGAGGATTTGTACTATCCCTGACGATATACATATATCTTTCAGAAGGAACAACTACCAAAACATCTACACATATGTGCTTTTAAATAAACTTATAAAATGTAATAATTGCAAGCTTTTTAAAACCTATCATTTATATTATATTGTCTTTGTGTCATACATCATGTTTTTGATGTGGTAGAGCCTAGCTGTGGTCAGTTACTACAGCTCGAACATGGTCTGTCTCGACCGTAAGTACCACCCTCTCACTGAAGATCGGCGTGAAGTAGACTTTAATGCATGCGTTTCGTCTGATAATTGAGAGAGACGGCTATACCTTTTCCTTTTCCCACCTATTCCTCCCCATTTTCCCCAATCAAAGGTCGTAACATATTCGCAAATTAACTTTGCCTATATCCATAAGTGATACTACCTCTATCAAGTTTGCTTTCTGATCGTTTGATATCTTTTCCCATACTAAATACTATATAGTATATATTTATATTACCGTATGTTCCCCGAGTCTATGTTCCTCCGTATAGTAGTGAGGTCCATGGGTCTCTTTACCACCACGCTGTACCCGGGCGCTTCCTCATCAGTGATCGGTCTGAGGAACAGTGAGGCGTACTTGTGTGCGCACAGCCTGAAGATATAAACAAATTAGACGGTGAGAAACGTACAGTTTGGAGTGAGAAACGTACAGTTTGGAGTGACAAACGTTCAGTTTGGAGTGAGAAAAGAATAGTTAAGAATGTGTAACGTGTAGTATAGAGTGAGTAATGTCAAAGACGTAATACATAGATTTTGGGAAAAGTAAGCAGAATATATGTTTGAAAATAAATTACCAAAATCTACTTATCACGCGAAAGTTACAGCAATCCGATCAGAAGTAACAGAATAGCGTCAAAAATGTACAGTTTAGAGTAACGTTAAGGGCGAGTTAAAATATTACTCTAGTTTTCAAGATTACCGTGATGAATTATGAGTGACATAATATAAGCTATATCCTACTAATATTATAATTGCGAAAGCTTGTGAGTGTGTGTATGTTTGTTACTTGTTCACGCTCAAACGGCTGAAGCGATTTTGATAAAATTTTGTATACAGGAAGCTGATTTCCAGGAATAACATATAGGCTACTTTGCATCTTGGAAATACAATGTAACACCGCGGGGCGCAGCTAGTATATATACCTGCTATACACCAACATGACGCTCTTCCTCCACAACCTGTGTTGCCGCTCGGCGTCGCTCGCTGAAGGAGACTCCGGGGCGCTTTCAGAACCTGAACAGGCTACATTAAAATAAATATGTTATATATACATATATAGGAAACTATTTATTTAACCAACTTTTTCATATGTAATCCCTACTAGTATTATAAATGCGAAAGTAACTTTGTCTGTCTGTTACGCTTTCACACCTAAATCATTGAACTGATTTTAATGAAATTTGGTACAGACATAGAGTTGATCTTGAGAAAGAACATAGGATAGTTTTATCCCAGACTTTTGAAAGGTTCTCTTGGAAACGCGATATAACCGAACACCACGCGGGCGGAAAGCTAGTTCTTTATAAGGATACTTTTATTGTATTGTATACTCTTCTTCTTGGCAATGTCCCAGCTTTAGACAGGGTCTGCCTTATTGTATACTATGTTTATTATATATTATATATACATATATATTATATATTACTTACTCCGTGAATCAGATTTCTTTTTCCTTGAATAGTCTCTTTTCTTCTTTCCGTCCCTATCTTCTTCTCTGCTCAACTGAAATAATTAATTATTATTATTAGTATTAGAATATTCAACCATTGTATTATCTTACTATTGAACTACTTAAACATAGCTATCTTTACTACAATATATATAAATGTAAGAAACTAGTTTTTGTCCGTGACTTCGTCTGCGTCAGTTTTAGAATTAGAAATGTATATCTGACCGGACAAACACTATTTCTTCTTAAAGACAGTAGATAAGAAGATTTTCGTTTTCAATCGTATGTAAAATATCTTATGTGCTTTCTATGTTCTAATCTATCTCTCCGCCAATCTTCATCCATATCCGTACAGTCGTTCTTGAGTTATAAATAGAGTAACTAACACGACTTTCTTTTATATAGATAATAATTATTACAATAGTGTGTATATATGTTAATACAAGTAATTATTGCATAAAAACCCTTCTAACAAGCATTGGTTTTATCAAATATTCTATATAAATCCTACTTCCTACTAATATTATAATTGCGAAAGTTTGTGAGTGTGTGTATGTTTGTTACTGCTTCACGCTCAAACGGCTGAACCGATTTTGATAAAATTTTGTATATAGGAAGCTGACGTCCAGGAATAAAACATAGGCTACTTTACATCCCGGAAATCCGCGGGTAATACCGCGGGGCGCAGCTAGTATATAATATGTTAGTACTCACCTCCATAGGAGTATCGTCGTCTGTCTCTGTGTGTGTGTCTTCTTCAACAGTTTCAGATTTAATTTCATCCTGGAACTCCTCTTTCAACATTTCCTTTAACGGTATTGAATCCTGAAAACAGAAAGAATATTATAAATTTTCATGTTTAATTTAAAGAGGTTTTCATTATAAAATATATAATAAAAATATCTGTTCTTACTTATATATCAGACCAAATGATTTAATGTAATTTTGTTAATATATTTATTAATTTTCTAGTTAGACAACACACATTTAATTATAACCGAACCTTTAAACTCTGAACGCACCCGAAGTGTCGTTAAAGAGATGACGTTTGGTTTGTTCACTTTTACGAGGGAAAGTATTTGTTGACGAGACTTGTGTGTTTGGAAACTGAAATTAACTTATTGAAGGGGTTTTGGTTTAAGATGATAATTAGTTCGTTCTAGTTGAGGTTTGATTTATTTAAAAGTACTGGCTTTATGAGACAACTATATTTTTTTTTATGATTTCGTTAGAATCCTATACAGGGTGACTGGTGAATTACTATCAATATTTAAGGAGAATACTCGGTACATGATTCTCATTCGAATTATGTAAAAAAAATAGGCACTTAATTTTTGACAAAATTTCCGTATAAATAAATAAAGTGTTGACACGTTCCAAATGTTCAAGTGTGGACGCGTGCGGCGACGTGCTGATACAACTCTACGTCACGACACGCGTATGTGTGAGTGTCAGTGTATACCTAATCTGTAGGGTGTTCACACGATGCGTAATTAATTACATAACTTTTGGTTAACTTTACTTAGAAGTTTATTAATATTTATGTTATATTAATTTTTATTTTGTCATATATGATCGTCAAATATCACGTCCTCAAATATCGATAGTAATTCACCAGTCACCCTGTATATATATACAGGGTGACTGGTGAATTACTATCAATATTTAAGGAGAATACTCGGTACATGATTCTCATTCGAATTATGTAAAAAAAATAGGTACTTAATTTTTGACCAAATTTCCGAATAAATAAACAAAGTTTGGACACGATCCAAGTGTTCCAAGTGTGGACGCGTGCGGCGGCGTGCTGATACAACACCACGCCGCTGCACGCTTGTGTGTGTGTGTGTGTGTGTATACCTAATCTGTAGGGTGTTCACACGATGCGTAATTAATTACATAACTTTTGGTTAACTTTGCTTAGAAGTTTATTCGTATTTATGTTATATTAATTTTTATTTTGTCATATATGATCGTCAAATATCACGTCCTCAAGTATCGATAGTAATTCACCAGTCACCCTGTATATATAAATAATATGTATATATATTGTGTTATGTTCATACCTCATCATCTTCTTTCTTTATATCTTCTGCGTCCTTCTTTAAATCTTCTTTATCTTCTGGTAAATCTTCTGTTTTATTTTCTTCTTGTACTTCTGGAACCGGTTCTTGTGGTGGTTCTTCTACAGCTGTAAAGAGATACCTTGATGTAGAATATTTGCTAACAATATTTAATAACTTTTGCAACAAATTGTACATTCGTCAGTATACCGAATAGCGAATATTCTTCGAGGTCAATGACCGAATAGCCGAATATGATGTTAAAGTATTCGGATGCATTGTAGTGCCAAAAGCAGTACAAACATGATTGTATCAAACTCGTTTCTTCTAACTTACTCACGCAAAAAAGTTTACTTAAAAATGGAACAGACTAGTCCCTAGAAATTCGAAAAATATATCCATCACCAAAATCTTTCTTCTCTTAATTGTAAAATAACTCAAATACATAGAAAAATTCTTAATTTTTCTTAATATAAAACATTATGTACTTGTTTATGTATCAATGACAAATTAAATGCTTATTGTTCCACATTTCCATTATTACAATAATTAAGTCACAATAAATTTATCACGTTAGTTTAATATCATTGCTATATGTATAAAATATCAGTGGTGGCCTAGTGGTTAATGGCCCGCCTCTCATGCACGAGGGCGCGGGTTCGATCCTGGCAAGTACCAATGTGATGTTCCGAGTCATATGTACTTTATAAGAGTATTTAGACATCACTTATTAATGAAGGAAAACATCGCGAGGAACATTGGACTTTTTGTTTCACAATTATAAGTTTGAAATCACCAACCCGTGTTAAGCAAGCGTGGTGATTAATACTCAAACCTTCTCCATGTAAGAAAGAGGCCTTTGCTCAGCAATAGGCTCTGGTAGGATGATAATAATATATGTATGAAGATATATTAATTGAATATTTGTTAATTATGCGTCATATATATTCCTACCTTCCACTTCCTGTTTAACATTTTCGGGCGGTAATGGTATATCTTGTGGGTCTTGTATACTATCTTCTGTTACTGATTGCTCAACCGGTTGCTCAACTGGTTGCTCGATCGGTTGCTCGACTGGTTGCTCAACTGTTTGTTCAACCGGTTGCTCAACCGATTGCTCAATCGTAGGTTCATTTGTAGTCTCTTCTTTATTACTTTCTTGAACATTTTCTTCTTGTATTTGTCTGTAATGTGTATTGAAAGAAAAATTTATTTTATTTGTTTTTATAAGTAAGAAAAATTTATTATATGTCACACAAAAGCTACAGAACCGATTTTGATATAATTTTCTATTGATAATAAATATGTATTTATAAAATATATTTACTTAATTTATCACTATGAATAAAATTAAATGTTTTGGAAAGAGACGAAACCTCTCATCATTCAATGCATTCACGGTGCGTGTGTCGGGTCCATCGTTGTAGTGAGAGGAGCTTCAACAGTGACTGTGACTTGTGACCCAGGTGTAGGTTTAAGGGACCCTAACTAACGTTAAACAATCACCTCCACCGTACAAGCTCCTCTCTCTCTACATATATAACTATATACATACGCAGGTTTTTCTTGTAATTCTTCTGTAATATCTTCTTCCATTTTTTCTTCTGGATTAACTTCTGGTTCTTTGACCTCTTCCTTCTGAAAGAAACGATACAATAAATCGTATTTTTCATATTAAAATATATTTCTATATTATTTCATATTAAATCAATCTTGACTTGAAATTCAATTATAACGTATAGAACGAATAATAGTATATCTTATTGCAGTTAATTTCCCAACTAAGCTATCTTGTCTTAACCCAAGCCAATGAAATAATAACTTTCAAATACTTATACTTAATATATAATATATATATTGATTAAGTATCTGAAATAGTAATGAGTGAACCCACAACTACAATGATATAATCCCAGTCACTTTAACATTTGAGCTATCGCGTCCTAACTGTCGTAACTACTTAAATAAAAAGAAATCTACCACCTAGTTGTAATATTTATATATTTACAACCATTTTTAAATACATATATATGAATATATGTTTGGTATGTACACCAAACTGAAATTTTTTGTACAATTTTCCTCTGTCTCTCTGTTTGTTCCGGCTAATCTTTGAAATGGCTAGACCGATTTTTGATAGGACTTTTATTCACAAGTAGCTGATGTAATAAGAAGTAACTTAGTCTACTAGTTAATATATACCTTCTGTTCATCTTGTATAACTTTTATTTCCGGTGTCGGGAACTTGACTTCCGGGAAACTGATCTTGACTTCCTCTTTCTCCGGCTCCTCTTGCTTTTCTTCTACCACTTCCGGTTGAGTTTCTTCTGGCTGATAGTACAATATAATAATAAAATATAAGAACAATGTGTTATTTAATTTAACGAACAGGTTATTCCAAGAAAACAATGACTAAAATTTCATTAAAATCTGTTTAGTAATTTCCATAATTGAGTATTATATATACATACATAAGAATATATAAAAATAGTCATAAATATTATTATTATTATTATTATTTAGATGTACTCACTAATGGAGTGTCTGTTTGTGGTTCTTCTTTTGGACTCTCTTGTACTGGTGTTTCTTCCTGAAATAAATAAATATATATACATATAAATAAATTAATTTTATATATTAATATAAAATATATCTTATTGTATATCATCATCATCAGCCTATCAGAGTCCACTGCTGAACAAAGGCCTCTTCTCACATGGAGAAGGTTTGAGCATTAATTACCACACTTGCTCAAGATTTTGGCGATTTCAAACTTATAATTTGATTATGAGTCAAAGTTTTCCTTCATTAATCAGTGATGTCTAAATACTCTTATAAAGTACATATGACTCGGAACATCACATTGGTACTTGCCAGGTTTCAAACCCGCGCCTTTACGCATGAAGAATGTTTTACCTCTTGGCAATCACGACCTTTTCTATTGTATATATTTAATATTATTTTGTATATTATATTGTATATATTTTAATATTATTTTAATCACCTTATACTCCATAGCAGGTACTTCTGTGTTTTCAATTTCCACCGGCTCAATTTCCACTCCTTTTTTCGATTTTTCAAGCACCCTGGTTAAAATTTAAAGATATATTTATTAACATTGTTCTATAATACTTCTCTATATAAAACAGTATATATGTAGAATTATTTTAATCTTAATTTTTAGGTGCTATATATGAAAAGCATAATCAAAATTTGTTCAGACAGAAAAAGTTATGAACTAAAACAATTTTAGAAAATTAATGAAGAATTCTCTCTACTACTTCCCATGTATTAAGATACTGATAGGTTAAGAAATTTGCTTAAGCTTTTGCTTAATTTGTAAAAGATATAAATACAAAGATAAAAGTTATTGTAAAGATATAAGATTGTTAATTATTGAAATATTCGATCACAGATATATTAAGTACACCATACACTAACATCAATCTTTGAATGAATTAAATATCATAATATTCAATTACTAGCTTTCCGCCCGCAGCTTCGCCCGGAGTTCGGTTAAATCGCGTTTCCAAGAGAACCTTTCAAAAGTCTGGGATAAAAACTATCCTATGTTCTTTCTCAAGGTCAACTCTATCTCTGTACCAAATTTCATTAAAACCATTTCAGTGGCTTAGTCGTGAAAGCGTAACAGACAAACAGACAGACAGAGTTACTTTCGCATTTATTATATTAGTAGGGATACGAAGATTTCACAAACACACACCCTATTTACGTCTCCTTCTACCTGGCAATTTCCCATCTTTAGCCAGGGTCTGCCAACAAGCTATATATGTATATTCGGTGAACTCACCGTACATTCCCCTTGTGCATGCTAGTCACGGGCGGTATATGTATGTCTATGTCACTGAACGCGTAAACATCTTCAGCTTTTATTTCGATGTCGTCTATATCTACAGCTGGAACCGATGAAACTGGGACGTTTTGAACTGGTGGTTGGGAATTAGCTGAAACATATAAACATATATATATATATATATATATATACAGGATGACTGGTGAATTACTATCGATATTTGAGGACGTGATATTTGACGATCATATATGACGAAATAAAAATTAATATAACATAAATATTAATAAACTTCTAAGTAAAGTTAACCAAAAGTTATGTAATTAATTACGCATCGTGTGAACACCCTACAGATTAGGTATACACACACACTCACACATACGCGTGCTCGGCGTGGTGTTGTATCAGCGCGCCGCCGCACGCGTCCACACTTGGAACACTTGGACCGTGTACACACTTTATTTATTTATACGGAAATTTTGTCAAAAATTAAGTACCTATTTTTTTTACATAATTCGAATGAGAATCATGTACCGAGGATGCTCCTTAAATATTGATAGTAATTCACCAGTCACCCTGTATATTGTTAAATAATTATTAAACTATCAACCCTCAAGCCACCTATAATATACGCCATTACTGACAATCTGATACTTTTTGTTCTCAACTATTGTCAAGAGAAGAGACTGCTCTAATTAGTCTCGAATATTAATAAATTTTTCATCGGCCGGCGAAAGTTTGTTTTTAACAATCATAACATGTTTATCATTTCTAACAATATATATGTATATTTCTAAAACTTTAAATTTACAGTAGAGCATTTCAAAAATTTATATTAAACCAAAATCTGCAAAAAATAATAATTACAACATTAGGTACGCGTCTGACAAATCCTTTAATTAAAATAGTATTTTTGTTTATTTTTTACTTTGAATGGATGTAATGATCTAATAGGATATTTTTCAGAAAAAAAGTAAAATAGCATTTTTGTGGCATACAACAACTTACGTGGGAGGTATCGATATAAACATTTATAGATTTTTTTTGGTTTGGAAAAATATATATATATCTCATACAAAAGCTCATTCATATATGTATACAGGGTGACTGGTGAATTACTATCAATATTTAAGGAGCATACTCGGTACATGATTCTCATTCGAATTATGTAAAAAAAATAGGTACTTAATTTTTGACCAAATTTCCGTATAAATAAATAAAGTGTGTACACGTTCCAAGTGTTCCAAGTGTGGACGCGTGCGGCGGCGTGCTGATACAACAACACGCCGCCGCGCGCGTATGTGTGAGTGTGTAGTGTAGAGTAATCTGTAGGGTGTTCATACGATGCTTAATTAATTACACAACTTTTGGTTAACTTTACTTAGAAGTTTATTAATATTTATGTTATATTAATTTTTATTTCGTCATATATGATCGTCAAATATCACGTCCTCAAATATCGATAGTAATTCACCAGCCACCCTGTATACTAGCTTTTATTTATATGTATTTACTAGCTACCACTATATCTTTGCTCCTATTGGTCGTAGCGTGATGTTATATAGCCCACAGCCTTTCTCGATAGCTGGACTATCCAACACAAAAAGAATTATTCAATTCGAACCAGTAGTTTCGGAGATTAGCGCTTTCAAACAAACAAACTCTTCAGCTTTATAATATTAGTATAGATGATAACATATTCTACAAATCCCGGATACTATTATTTCCTCGCGGTTTCTCTTGTCGCTTATACATACATGTACTAGTATTATATAATGTTACCTTTCAACTGGTGTTCTATCTGCACCAGTTGACTCTTGATGTGCTCGATGGCCGCGTGTTTGTTGTCATGAGGCAGCTCTAGTAACAGAGAGAGGGTCGGGGCACCCGCTGAAGGAGATACTGTATCTGAAACATAATGTATATCTTTATATATATAATTCTTCTGTGAGTGTGTATGTCACTGAACTTCTCTCAAACGACTGGACAGACTTTGATGAATTTTTTTGTGTGTGTTCAAGGGGTTCTGGGAATGGTTTAGATTCAAAATTTTGTCCGCTGGAAAATGTCTTTTTAATAAATTTTTAATTTATTAGTAGTTATTGATACAAACGTTTTTTTTTTTTTGACATTAGATTTGACAACTAACTAATATGTAATCATTCTGTCGCACTTCAAAACACGGAGATTTATGGTTTACAGGTAAACTCCAAAAATATAAATAATAAAACGTAACAGATATTTCTTGATTATAGGGAGATACGAAGTTCGACGGGTCTTCTAGTATATACATATACAGGGTGACTGGTGAATTACTATCAATATTTAAGGAGCATACTCGGTACATGATTCTCATTCGAATTATGTAAAAAAAATAGGTACTTAATTTTTGACCAAATTTCCGTATAAATAAATAAAGTGTTGACACGTTCCAAGTGTTCAAGTGTGGACGCGTGCGGGGGCGTGCTGATACAACACTACGTCACGACACGCGTATGTGTGAGTGTCAGTGTATACCTAATCTGTAGGGTGTTCACACGATGCGTAATTAATTACATAACTTTAGGTTAACTTTACTCAGAAGTTTATTAATATTTATGTTATATTAATTTTTATTTTGTCATATATGATCGTCAACTACCACATCCTTAAACATTGATAGTAATTCACCAGTCACCCTGTATACTAACACAATATTAACACTTATAATCCTTCTACATTGTTTGATTGAGAAGATCCTTACTTTGTATACTAGTTTTATTTATACTAGTTTTTGCCTGGGACCGTCTGCATTATTTTCAAAATGAGTAATATATAGTTGTCCGGACAAACTCTCATCCATAAAGACAGTACATAAGAACATTTTGGCTTTAATCAACTTATTCTTGTTTACTTTTTCAAAGTGAATGAAAAGTATCCTACGTACGTCTCCTTGTTCTAATCTATTTCTCCACCAATCTAGAATCAAACCCGTTCAGTCGTTCTTGAGTTATAAATAGTACTAGCTTTCCGCCCGCAGCGTCGCCGGCGTGGAGTTCAGTTATATCGCGTTTCCAAGAGAACCTTTCAAAAGTCTGCGATAAAAACTATCCTATGTTCTTTCTCCAGGTCAACTCTATGTCTGTACCAAATTTCATTAAAATCAGTTCAGTGGTTTAGGCGTGACAGACAGACAGAGTTACTTTCGCATTTATAATATTAGTATGTATACGTACCGACAACACTAGCCGGGTGTGGTATGTGTTGTGGCGTAGTTACCACCGGCGAGGACTTGAGGAGTGACGTCAGCAGAGGAGACGACGGGGGCGCGGGGCTAGCTGGAAGTTATACATATATATATTATACTAGCTTTTGCCTCGACTACGTCCGCGTGGAATAGTGACTTCCGCCAGATTTTTGTTTCTTCCCACATAGTTCCCGTTCTTGCGGGGTTTTCGGAATGGTCGAGTTCCCGTAGAATTTTCAGGATAAAACCTATGTTTTTTTTATTCACAATGAAGTACTCTTAACCAACAACATATTTATTTGTTTATTTGAATAAAGATTAATATTATTATGTTGATACAACTTAAACAAATTATTTCGACCAAATTAGGTACCATAAAAACGATTTTTGTGATTTAATCTTAAAAGATAGACATATACTGTCCTGGACTGTTTCTTAGATCATTAAAAGAGCCATTATTCTTTAATACATATTTTTTGTGTATCTTGAACCGTTTTCACGGCGCACGCAATGGAAGGCTTCAAAGATGAAATAATTTCTCCCGTTTTTTACACATTTACCACTATATCTTTGCTCCTATTGGTCGTAGCCTGATGTTATATAGCCCACAGCCTTCCTCGATAACTGGACTATCCAATACAATAAGAATTATTCAATTCGAACCAGTAGTTTCAGAGATTAGCGCTTTCAAACAAACAAACTCTTCAGCTTTATAATATTAGTATAGAAATGTTAGTGTATGTCAAATTATATTTATCTGGACCATTGATTGATCAATTAAAAATAATGGCAGCCAAATTTTGATAGGCACCCTAGGAAATATACAGGGTGACTGGTGAATTACTATCAATATTTAAGGAGCATACTCGGTACATGATTCTCATTCGAATTATGTAAAAAAAATAGGTACTTAATTTTTGACCAAATTTCCGTATAAATAAATAAAGTGTTGACACGTTCCAAGGGTTCCAAGTGTGGACGCGTGCGGCGGCGTGCTGATACAACAACACGCCGCCGCGCGCGTATGTGTGAGTGTGTGTGTATACCTAATCTGTAGGGTGTTCATACGATGCGTAATTAATTACATAACTTTTGGTTAACTTTACTTAGAAGTTTATTAATATTTATGTTATATTATTTTTTATTTTGTCATATATGATCGTCAAATATCACGTCCTCAAATATCGATAGTAATTCACCAGTCACCCTGTATATAAATAAGCATAAAAATTTGGTTTTAAACAAATAACCGATGAACGCATCAATCCTGCAGTGGGATCTCGTACTATGAAGAAAATCATCTCAGAGAATCATAAACTTTAAAGAATCTTTCTCTTTCTAAATTTATATCTCTTATTATTCCTCTCTTTCTACTCTTTCTTTCAGCCTATCTCACTCGCACACTCTATCTCCCTGTCTCCCTCTACCCGCCGTGCCTCACCAGCAGGTGACGTGGTCTGCGGCCTCCACGTCCTCTCGGCCCTGGCGCGTCTCTCCTCTCTTTCTTTCAGCCAGGCGGCCCGCCTAGCGCTGTCTCTCTCCCTCGCCCGCTTGGCGCTCTCTATACCAGCCCACAACTCCTGGATCCTTTCATCTGGGGTCGAGTTGTTGCGGACTTCGTTGATTTCGTTCTGGAACAAACGATTATAGAACAAATGAAGATGAACTTACTTACTTAGTATGAAGATTTGTGTTTTAAATAAATATAGATAAGTCATCTGAAAGCTAGATTGAACCTAAATACACCCAAACTGCAACGTTTTGCAAAAACATTGGTGGATTTGCGCCAATATACAATATATATGTAAAATAAATGCTGTTAATTTTATTCTTCTTCCATTATTAATTACGCCGAATATTTATCATCATCATCAGCCTATCAGAGCCCACTGCTGAGTAAAGGCCTCTTCTCACATGGAGAAGGTTACAGCATTAATCACCACGCTCGCTCAAAACGGATTGGTTTGGTCTCAAGAATACCTTATATACTATGTGTTATAATAAAATACAATTAAAATCTCTTCAGTATATATCACCTGACAAATAACATTCATATATTAAAAAAATTCACATAGCATTAATAGCAATTACATACTCATATAGTTGGGGATAGTGCAAATCCGAGTAACTATCATTGCATAATTCCACGTATCTACATTGGAAGCAGATTATCAGAAGAATGTTTGAGCTTAAATATTTTCTATATTACCACTTTTAAGAAATTTTTGTATACAATGAGTAAAAAATTAAAGACTAAATAATTATTCACTTTGAAAAAAATACCTTAAACCTCATTACATTCAGAAAATAAATAAGTTTTTAACATCTAATGTAAAACTAATTCAATATCAGCCATGCGGAATTATCCAATGCTAGTTATGCAGATTTGCACTATCCCCAAAGATATATCTATATATAATTATTATTGGCTCCTGGACGAGCTATGCTGACAAAATTACAGAATCATGTATATTACAAATCATCATTTTTCTTCTATTACAAAATCTCAAAGCATACTGGGTGTTCTCAACAGTCAATATTATATATTAATGGGTTCTATATATAAGGGCTAGTGTAGTAATATAGCCATTTTGATATTTTTGCTTTAAACACTTCACAATACTGTATTCTACAACATCCATTTAAAAAAATGTGCATTTGTTGGTGGAAAGACTTATTTTACACAGTAAAAATGCATAAGTAACACACTTTTTAACATATAAGGGCTTGTATAATCCCTACTATCCTACTAATATTACAATTGCGAGAGTTTGTGAGTGTGTGTGTATGCTTGTTACCTCTTCAAACTCAAACGGCTGAACCGATTTTGATAAAATTTTGTATACAGGAAGCTGACATCCACGAATAACACATAGGCTACTTTACATGCCGGAAATCCGCGGGTAACACCGCGGGACGCAGCTAGTAATATTTTAAATGTGAAAGTAACTCTGTCTGTCTGTTACCCTTTCACGCCTAAACCACTGAACTGATTTTAATGAAATTTAGTACAGACATAGAGTTGATCTTGAGAAAGAACAGGATAGTTTTTATCCCAGATGTTTGAAAGGTTCTCTTGGTAACGTGATATAAACGAACTCCACGCAGGCAGAAAGCTAGTAATATATGAAATCAATCTATTTATAAAGCATGATCATTTTATATTATTTTATTAAGTGCATAACAAGCAAGTGCCCATACACCGACCTTCAACTGTTCATACTGTGTGTTCATTTCCGTTAATGTATTCTGTATTTCCTGTATCCGTTGTTGCGTTAATTGTTTCAAGATGCTCTCCTGCGGTGTTTCCACTCCGCCTTCCGAGTTTCTTTTCTTTCGTTTCGGTGTTTCAACATGTTCCAATAAAGCTCCATATTGAGCTGCGCAACTAAAAAGTAAACAAAATTGTTATTAAACACTAGAAGACCTGGCGAACTTCGTATCGCCCTATAATCAAGAAATATCTATTACGTTTTTTTATTTATATTTTTGGAGTTTGCCTGTAAGCCATAAATCTTTGTGTTTTGAAGTGCGACAGACAGAATGATTGACATATTAGTTAGTTGTCAAATCTAATGTAAAAAAAAAAGTTTGTATGGGAAATAGAAAAGGGCTGTTTTTATGGTTTTCCCAGTAATGAATCAATTTTTTTCAGTTTTTATACCTTCCCTGAACCTCCACGAACATTTCAAGACTAAGTTAAGATAAATCCGTTCAACTGTTCTCGAGTTTTAGTGAGACTAAGGAACAGCAATCCATTTTTATATTTATAGAAGAAGATAATTATTAACAGTCAATGATATATTTAAGCTTAATTTTATGGAATGTAAGGTAGTGGAATGTGATTGTAGTTGCTTCTCTGTATTTTAAAGTTACTGTCTGTTTTACAGAATAAAAGTTTTCTATGAGTAAATATAACTACGGTTTGGAGATACTCCGCGTTTTCTATTATTTGATAACTACATAATCCCAATGTTTTGAGATAAATTTCTTTGTTCTCTTCTCCGTTATCATGGTTCATGTGAAAACATAATATAACTATCGACAAAACCTCTCATCACTCCATGTTGAATACCATCACTGCATTCAAGTAATACTTATTATATTATTCTGGTTGCTATCCTGTTGCTTGATACAAAAGGGTAAAGACAGCGAAGGTCTGTTTGGTTTCCTCTATCAGGATATATTGGTCGAGATAGAGAGAAGTAAGAAACATGTAAGTATAATTCTTAATTTCATGTATTTTGGTCTATAACATGAAATAAAACCTCTCATCATTCAATGTATCCACAGTGCGTGTGTCGGGTCCATCGTTGTAGTGAGAGGAGCTTCAACAGTGACTGGGACTTGCGACCCAGGTGTAGGTTTAAAGGACGCGCGTTAAACGCTCAAAATAATAAAAAAAAGACGTAGTGTACGAAAAACTTAATGTACACACGAAAATCTTAAATATCAGTACAACGAATAACACAAAATAGTTTAAGACATCTCGTCCGCCCGTGATCACGGTTGCTAAAAAGTAACCATTACGTCAGGGGTATGAAGTTTTTTACAAAAATAAAGTCGCGTAGTATAATCCGGCAAATATTAGTTTCATTTAAATGATAGTTTAACTGAAATATTATACCTTTTTTGCGAATACCAATCCGGTGGCCTGTTCGACTCTGCGACCGTTTTAAGAGCGCGAGAAACAGTCATCCAATTCTGATCGCCGCTCCTAAAGACCGCCGACGCTAGACATAGCTGTTCCCTTATATTCCACGTATCCAGCGGCACACGTTTTAATTGCAAACGTTCCTGTATTGAACTCATTTTCAATAATTTTACATCACAACAAAAACCGCGTCGCTATTTGACAGCTTCTATGTTGATATGTCAAAAATGATCACACAGATTATTCAATTTTATCTGGTTTAAGAAATGAACAAGTACTTAATCTCATAATAAAAAAATTACTTAACACTAATATTATATGAAATGGTAACTTGGAATAATTTTGTAAGGTAAATTCCATGACTTTAGTTCTTAGGCTTTATAATATAGATTAATTTGTTATAAACATTACATTATTTATTATTTTCTATTACATAAAAATGTTACAAAATTCAGTAAATTATGATTTACGACTTGTTTATTAGTTAAGTCTCGCTTTTTCAAAGTCTGAGCGTTTCATTAATAAACAATCTCATTAATCAATTCCGACCCGTAATAATATGGTCTTCCCTTCCTTCCTAACGAAATACGCTCAACATCTCAAAACACACTTAGCCGGACGTACTCTGACTTCTGAGAGAATGGTACTTCCCGGGTCGAGCCAGCCCATGGGCCATGTTTAGCTGTAGTTACTGGACTATAACTAGTCTTTACCACCTCAATGATTTCATCAAAAGAAAGAAGTATAAATGTGAATATGTACTAAGTAGTTGTGTTCAGATCACACAAATATCATGTTGGAGAATTGTAAAAAAATGTATATCTTTACAGTTAGGTATCTTTCGTAAATATGTATATTTTCATATATTAAAACTGTCACGTAATTTTAATAATTATAAATCCTTGCGTCTATGATTTAAGTGATAATGAAACCATAGGAAAAAAATAGAAATTAGTGGAGAAAGAAACTTCGAAATGTGGTAACGAAAATAGGAAGGTATAAAAATCTATTTTTAGTGAACCTATATTGTGTTAAGACAAACAAGATCGCATCTATTAATTATAATTTGCGAGCGGAGAAATATTCAAATCTATAATATTTACAATTGTATTATAATAAGTAAAGTAAGAAGAAACCTAACTAACCTAAGAAGAAAGACGTACTTTCATACAACCTTAAATCTGACTTTTTTCACCCATTCTTTATAATTATCTTTAATCTTCTTCTCCTACCTGGCAATTTCCCAGCTTTAGCCAGGGTCTGCCTTACATGTTGTGAATAGTTTTGGCTAATTGTTTTTACGACTGGCCGCCTGCCTGACATCAACCCTCTTTGGGAATGCATTAACTAGTGATTTATTTATTTATTTACAAGAAGCACACTTACAACATACATATTGAATATTTACAGTTAAAGTGATTATATTATAACATTAGATAATATGTACCCCAATGACAAGTGTACATAACATTTACTAACTATAAACAGTGCACGATTAAAAAGTTTACATACTAATTTAAAGATAAAATAAAAATATGACGTAAAAATAACAAAATAAAATAAAAAAAATATTACTAAGTATATAAACTTAGGAAAACTTTAACTTAAAAAAAAAATAGTCAATAATTTTTTGTTTAAATACATAAAATGAATCACTAAATAGGTCTAGACTTGGTATTTTTTTGGAAATGTGATTGGAACTGGTGATGTCTAAATACTCTTAGAAAGTACATATGACTCGGATAAATCACATTGGTACTTGCCAGGATAACCCGCGCTCTCATGCATGAGAGGCGGGCTTGTTAACCACTAGGCCACCAGTGACTAATATAATTATCTATACTAATATTATAAAGCTGAAGAGTTTGTTTGTTTGTTTGAAAGCGCTAATCTCCGAAACTACTGGTTCGAATTGAATAATTCTTTTGTGTTGGATAGTCCAGTTATCGAGAAAGGTTGTGGGCTATATAACATCACGCTACGACCAATAGGAGCAAGGATATAGTGGTAAATGTGTAAAAAACGGGAGGAATTATTTCATCTTTGAAGCCTTCCGTTGCGTGCGCCGTGAAAACGGTTCAAGATACACAAAAAATATGTATTAAAGGATAATAGCTCTTTTAATGATCTAAAAAACAGTCCGCGACAGTATATGTCTATCTTTTAAGATTAACTCACAAAAACCGTTTTATGGTACCTAATTTGGTCGAAATAATTGACAATAAGGCAATTCTATAACTAGTAATAAAAATCAAAAATATTTTCAATCATATTTTATTTATTTCTCAATGATAACAATAATAATAATAGATCATAAAAGTATCTTACATACTATAAAGCTCTTTATTTGGAATCAATATCACCTATAAGTTAAAAGAAATCAATGACAGTAGATGATAAATAACAAGACCAACTGACAGACACTCACATCTCGTCTTTATTTTCGTCGTTTTAAATAAACACCCATATAAAATTTTTCAGAAAATAAACTTAGTTTTCCATAATTTTTTCCCTATGCCTTGCACCATTCAAATGTTGAATAATATTATGAAGTGTGAACGGATCTCACCTTACATGCTTTACTCTTTTCCGTCGTTTTAAATAATTTGATAAATTTTTTCACTTTTTCATCTAATACATTCACATCAGAATCATTAATTTTGTTGACATTTTCATTTATGTTCGCTTTGTTTTCTTCATTTTTTTCTATGTTTACACCAGGTTCATTTCTTATGGCTTCATTCATATTACTCCCAGGTTCATTAAATGTAGCTTCTTTCATATTAGTGCCAGGTTCATTTTTTATGGCTTCATTCATATTACTCCCAGGTTCATTTATTGTAGCTTCATTCATATTAGTGCCAGGTTCATTTCTTATGGCTTCATTCATATTACTCCCAGGTTCATTAATTGTAGATTCATTCATATTAATGCCAGGTTCATTTCTTATGGTCGATATCACATTAATTTTCATGTCATTAGTTTCATTTAAATTAATCTCTGAATTATATATTTCATTAATCTCATCTACAGTAGTAATGGCATTTATTCCATTTGCATTAATGCCAGGATTATTATTACTGTTTTCATTATTCTTTCCATCTGATTCATTCGTGTTTGTTTCTTTTATAATGTTTGTATTATTTAATTTTTCATTGTGAAGTCCAAGTTTTTTGATGTGTTTTTTACCTCTCAAATGTTGGACACATACTTTATTAGTTATACAGATATAGCATACATTACAACATATAGCATTTTCTTTCACCTCCATAATATTATCTTTCAGGAGTTCTCTGTATTTTTCTATATGTTTCCAGCTTTGCGTATGAGATTCCACACTATTTCTATTATTTGCAACAAGTATGTCGCATAGCGTACATTTCAAATTTACTTGGCTATCAGTTGATAAAAGCGTATCATATATTTCTGTAATAGTTGCATATATATATTTAAATGTTGCAATGTTTTTCCGATGCTTCTTACTTTCGTTGTGAAGTTTTATTCCATTTTTATCATTTTTAATAGATTTATCACATATGGCACAGTAATAGTTCTCGTCATCTTTTACACTATCCATTTGTTTCTTGTGATTTGGTTTATATGTATGTAGTAATTCGTTTCTTATCATTACCACATCAAAACAGACCATGCAAAAGAATTTATCCAAATCAATGGAAACTAATCTATTGTCCGATAAGTATTCTCTGTACTTTTGTTTGTGATTTTCTGAGTCCACATGACTTTCAACATTGTTGTCATCGATATCGCAAACTCTACATGTACTTGTATTAACTGTGTATAAGTAATGATAAGGAGATTTGGTATTCCATATATGTCTTGAGGTCAAGGAATGTTGCCTTTGGCTGTTTTTTTTTAGTTGGATATTACAGTACTTGCATGTATGGTTTTCTGTAGAATCATTAGATATAACAGAGCCATCTATACTAGTTTTGTTTAAAACAAAAGACTTGTTGTCATTTAAATGATCATTGTTAGGTTTGGGATTGTCTAAAGATGTGATATTTCCCTGGAAGTTGAAATATTGGAAAGCAGTTTCAAAATTTTTGTTATGGTTACTATCTAAGGCAATGTGTGTTGAGTAATTTTCAGTGATAGTGTTGCAAAGAATGCAGTGGTACCACGATGGATATATCTGAAAACATAAAAGTATCTTTAAGTAAAAGAAAAGATAAAACATTTAAATGTCTGATCAGTCAAAGGAGATTGAGATAAGAAATACCAATTTGATGTAACTTCTGATGAATTAAATAATTAAAAGCAAACATGGATATCACATTATTGACTCCTTTTTTCAAATTTTCCGAATGTATAAAGAAAGATCCGTTAATTTGGAGATTTTTATGTTTATTTATAAAGACGGGTAAAAGAATAATATAATGGAATATTACCTCTCTTAAGCAGTTGCTACCTGTAATTGGCATAGTCACTCTATAAGCATGTTTTGATCCTCGAATATGTATGTATTTATTCTCAGTTCTGAAAATTTCTTTGCAAACAATGCACTCAACACAACCCCCCTCTCGGTTTAAGATACCATGAAAATTATCTTCGTCAATTTCTAGTTTGCTTCCATCTATATCTATCAGTAGTCTTCCTTTACTGATCACTTTTATATTAGTGGTCATTTTGTGTTTATATTTCAATACATTCAAATAATTTTCCATATCAAAATTATTCAGAACATCTATTGGCTTCGTGTTTTGTATGGCATTTAGTAGTTTATCAGCTGGCTTTGATAGTGCAACTTGAGATTCCAAAGTATTTTTTATGTTATCCGTTGAATTTGTATAAAAATCAAGAAAATTTGTTATATATCTGTCAATAAGGACAGCGTTCTTGTGATTTGTGGAATTATCGTGTTTTTGTCGATCACATACTTCTGTAACAGTAGTGCAATGAGGACAGAAATATTTCAACGAGTCTCTTTCTTCTGAATACACATTATTATTGATTTCATCTTTTAGCCTTTCCAATGCTGTGTTAGCTATTTTTAAATATGTTTTATGTTTAACACCATCTCTGTGTTCTTTGAGATATTTCACCGGGACATCAATCTTGCAAATGTGACACATAGTCGTTTTTAGGTCCTGTTTGTTTGTTGAGGCATCTGAAACAGTTAGGAGTATTTGCTCATTATAAATGTCCATCAAACAACTTGAACCGACAATCACAAGGAAATGTAGTTTAAGTTTAACAAGAACAAAACATTAAATAAGATCTTTGTGTAATTTCCAAAAATAACTTTTGTTGCTTTTATGTGGGGTTTCTCTAATAATAGAAGATGACCAACCAATTTTGACTACTATCTACTTTAAGAATAAAATATTTTTGGTGCCTCTGTTTTTTTCACCAACTGAAAAACCGTTGTTACTTATCCTAACTAAATTACATATCAGTTCCCATTTCTTCAAGAAGCAGTATCACTCACATTGGGGAATACTCACTTATAGTTTTATCTATATTGGCTTTAGAGTGTGATAGTATCAATAAAGTATCTTAATATATTTTATATACTTAATAAATATGTAGAGTGACATGTAAATGTACATTTGACATAAATATAAAAGGATATAATCACCTTTATCAGTCTGATCTTCCAATGGATTATAGGAAATACGAAATTCACATTGTTCATTGTTTAAGCTCCACAGCGGCATATTTCTCTTTGGAGAGTAAGTATTTGGTAAGAGACCTAAGTCCATTTCATCCAAAGGTATAATGTAGGCGGCGCTCATATTTCTGTAAAATATATTTATTAAATATTATAATAATATTAGAATTTTATTTAAATTTAAGATATACAGGGTGACTGGTGAATTACTATCGATACTTGAGGACGTGATATTTGACGATCATATATGACAAAATAAAAATTAATATAACATAAATATTAATAAACTTCTAAGTAAAGTTAACCAAAAGTTATGTAATTAATTACGCATCGTGTGAACACCCTACAGATTAGGTATACACACACACACACACGTGCGGCGGCGTGAATGCTTTAAGAAATTAATATCCATGAATTCCCTTTAAAACAATGTTTCATATCATACAAGTGAGGTACATTTCTGGATGAGATATCATTTTAATTTATATAAATTATAACAAGTGAACTTGAAAATTAACTAAATTTAAATAAATACTTAAACAGCTTGTAAATAAAAAAAGTTCAATAGCAAAACTATTGATATATCTGAGTAACCAACATAATATATTTATGAATCTTCATCTTAACAGAATTAACATTTTAAATACAGTGGACCCCCGGTAGTCTGACAAACATTTTGCAGGGCAGTGTCGAACTATCGGATTCGTCGGATTATAGAGTACTGCCTAAGACCCCTATAATCCGGATTTTTTTTACAAAAGACTACCTTGTAATCCGACAAATTACAGATTCAATGATAAGATTATTTACATATTATATATACATATGAATACTTATATGTACTCTGAAGTACAAATCATACTTCATTATGTATGTCAAATTTAGTAAATTAGACAACAATAGAGAGCTTACGTCTTATTATAAAATCAACGTCATTAATGCTATAGAACTTACAAAAAAACAAATAATTGATCATGTCGGATTACAGGGGGTGCCGGATTAGACAGGGGCCGGATTACGAGGGGTCCACTGTCATACATTCTGAATAGGCACAAATAAACACGGTTCATTGTTTAGAATATTTACTTTGAAATACATAACCTTATATTTTACTACTATTGAAAAGTTATAAAATTATTGTTGTACTGTCAAATTTATTGAAATCAAATATTAACTACTTCAAGTTATAAGTGGTTCTTCTGACTGTAATTTGTATTTATACTGAGGAATCAAGTTAAAGTAGACTAAGTAATGGAACAACAAAAGTAACAGTGACACATGCAATTAATATAGGTATTGTTAAATCTTTCAGTGAAGAATACTTTTATGTCCGTTGGTTTTTAATATGGCGAGCGATTATTCTTATAGTTCTTTATACCTTGGGTTTCAAACATTTACAAGTATAAAATGTATAATATAAATAATGTCATATTCTTAATGAGTTGAAAATATCAAAAAAATATATATTAAAACACTCAAATATATGACTTAGTAACAGTATACTTACTGGCAAGGTTATACGTCTTAAGTTTGTATAATTTCTTTCAGGTCTCAAGCTTCTTAATATAAAAAACTAACAGAATAAAAGTAATTTCTCTTCACTTCAAAACTTCAGAGAAAATATGGACGATGGGTGCAACTTCCTAATTTATAAGCAATGTCAGTTGTCACTAACTACTTAGCATTAGGCTAGCCGCAGCGATAAAGATATAGAAACGTCACTTTTGAATTAGGGACTTCCCGGTAATAGGGCTGCCATGTAAAGATATACCTAGTGTAATCAAATAAATAACTCATATATCAATATATCAAATTTTAACATTTAAATATAAAAAATCAGCCTTATATGAGCTTTGAATTGAACTTTAATATTAATGATTACGTTTTTGTATTGATCTACCTATGCATATTTTTTAGACGGTGTTTTAGAAAGCTCGACATTTGATGCAAATGCGGCCTTGTCATGCGACATACTTAACGTCATTTACGGGGGTTTCCCGAACAAGATATAGGATGACGCTTATTTTTTAACATGCTTATATTAGCTTGGGCTGTATGTATGTATGTAACGGAATCTTTGAGCACGGTTTTCACTGGTTTTAAACATCTGATTGACTTGAAACTTTGCATATGTCTCAAGAACCAATGACAATGCAATAATTCGTTAACAATTTCTCATTATCTTTGTTAGGGCGGCCAGGATTAATATATTCTTTTCATGAATATTCTATGAGAGGGAAATAGACAGAGCTAGTGTGCGATTTGAGCATGTCTACAAAAATGTAATTGATAAATCGTACTAAAAAATATGAAAGAAATATTAGTTACAACTTACAAGCGTGTTTTTTTTCACTAATATTTATTTTATTTAATAAAACAATATATATGTATTGGTACAGTTTAGATTAAGTGACCCGTTACTTAGCTATAGATACTCATATTACCTCCAAATAGTTTAAGACATGGATAACATGACGGCTAAAAAAAAAACAAAAAGGAGTCGTTTAAAATATGACTCTTCCTGACATCTATTGACGAATAGTAATACTACTTTTCGCTAATTGCTTTAACAACACAACAGCTGATGGTGTTGTTAAGTACCAGGAAGTCAATGAGTGTTTTTTTGAGGTTAGACTAAGAAATTGTTGATTTATGTTAGTTTGGCTTCTTAACATGTTCACTTAAAAATGCCTAAACGAATTAAAAAAAAACACGAAATAAATAATAAATAAATAATAATGCCTAAATACCGAGCAAAGCTCGGTAACCAGGTGTTACATTTCTAATTCTGAAACTGACGCAGGTGAAGTCGCGAACAAAAATTAGTTATAAATAAATGAATACATATAGAACAATTACGTATTTCAGCTAATTTCACGTCGCTCACACTGTTTACTTCTCTGCATAGCAACAAGACCATACTCATGTGCTATGAATCTACCCATTCACTCTCTCTCACTCCTACTTTCTACATGTGTGCATCATTCATTCTCTCTCTCAGAGCGTTAAACGTTTAACGCCACCTTGTTTGAAGTCACATAAGATTTTCACTTCAAAAATTGACAATAAGCCAATTCTATAACTAGTAATAAAAATCAAAAATATTTTCACTCATATTTTATTTATTTCTCAATGATAACAATAATAATAATTAATATATGTATCATAAAAATATCTTACATACTATAAAGCTCTTTATTTGGAATCAGTATCACCTATAAGTTAAAAGAAATCAATGACAGTATATGATTAAAACAACAAGACCAAATGACATACACTCACATCTCGTCTTTATGATCACGGTTGATGAAAAGTAACCGAAACATCGATAGTATGTAGTTAAAACAATAATTACGCGTAGTATACAAATATAAATGTCGTTCAAATGAATACTAGCGTAAGTCTTAAATCTCACAACCTATAAGTTGATCAATCATTTTAAATAAACACCCATATAAAAATTTTCAGTAAATAAACTTAGTTTTCCATATTTTTTTCCCTATGCCTTGGACCATTCAAATGTTGAATAATATTCTGAAGTGTGAACGGAACTCTCACCTTACATGATTTACATAATTAGCCCAGTCATATTAGGTGAAAAAAGGGGTCAACCTCGGAATGAAAGATAATAATCTGTAAATTGGTATAAACCTTTGTTTTGTCGTTCTAAATGTTGTCTCAAAAGTCACAAAAGATATCGTGTCCGCGTCATAAGATATTGACGGACAAAGGTCGTAAAAATTGGTTTTTCGCGAATATCTCGCGTTCTATTGCTTAAATGATATTTTTGCCCATAACAAAAGTTGTAGAGTGTAAAATTCTCTACAATTTTTGTTTTACTTTTATTTTCATACGATCAACCGTTTTTGAGGTAGAGCGCGAAGAGTGCGCACAGTCATATGTGGTCCAATGAAAGGTCAAGCGTGAGTTACGGTTATCAGTACATCGTATAAAGTCAATTATTTATTAAAATATTATAATTATTATAAAACAATGCCCATTATTTATTTTCTAATTGTTTATTGTTTATATTTTATTAAAATAAGTAACTTAAACAAGAAAACTACTCGGTACAAACATTATTTGAAAATGAAGTGAGCATCTTGTTGGCTTTATATGATGCTCCAAAATCTGAGGACAACATTGATAATTTTCGCTTCACGCAATTCATTAAATTAACGAAATTGAATAAACCTGTACAATTGTCAACACTTCCTCCAACAAGTGTAGCAGCTCATCAACTTATAAATCGCGTTTGCTATCAGATTCAAACGTGGTTAGGGAATGACTTAGAACCTCAAAAAATGGGCTAGATGCTTGAAAATGGAATCCTGGAGCCCATAAGAACGTTATTACCTCCAGCACCAACCGAACTACTAAATGTAATACTTTTCAATTGCAATAATGTTTGTGGTTCTCGCTGTGGATGCATAAAATCTGGGCGACTATGTTCTTTAGCTTGTGGCCAGTGCAATGGACAAGCTTGCCTGAACGCTTCACTATACCCAAGTAATCCCGATGAAGAAAATACATACGATCCAGAAATTCTGGAAGGTTTGGAGATGAATATGACCGATAATGAGAATGATGACAATAAACTGAACGTTTTCGAGCGACAACAAGAAGAAGATGACGAAGAACATGAAGATAACTAGCATCTATTTACAATTTTATTATAATTAAAACCAATAAAAATTAATTTAATATTTAAACTGAAATTTTAACAAATGAACATATAATGTGGCATATTTAATGATAAATAAAGATAAGCATAAAATATATTCCCTTATTGTCGTTTTAACTAAAATATATATTCCAGAATTAATAATATACTACGGTTAAATTATTGAAAATAAATAATTAAGTTACATACTTGTTTTAATAAAATATAAACAATAAACAATTAGAAAATAAATAATGGGCATTGTTTTATAATAATTATAATATTTTAATAAATAATTGACTTTATACGATGTACTGATAACCGTAACTCACGCTTGACCTTTCATTGGACCACATATGACTGTGCGCACTCTTCGCGCTCTACCTCAAAAACGGTTGATCGTATGAAAATAAAAGTAAAACAAAAATTGTAGAGAATTTTACACTCTACAACTTTTGTTATCGGCAAAAATATCATTTAAGCAATAGAACGCGAGATATTCGCGAAAAACCAATTTTTACGACCTTTGTCCGTCAATATCTTATGACGCGGACACGATATCTTTTGTGACTTTTGAGACAACATTTAGAACGACAAAACAAAGGTTTATACCAATTTACAGATTATTATCTTTCATTCCGAGGTTGAACCCTAAAATGACTGGGCTAAATATCTGACCATTCTCTTCCGTCGTTTTAAATAATTGCATAAATTGCATCTAATACATTCACATCAGAATCATTAATTTTGTTGACATTTTCATTTATGTTCGCTTTGTTTTCTTCATTTTTTTTTAAGTTCACACCAGGTTCATTTCTTATGGCTTCATTCATATTACTCCCAGGTTCATTAATTGTAGTTTCATTCATATTAGTGCCAGGTTCATTTCTTACGGCTTCATTCATATTACTCCCAGGTTCATTAATTGTAGCTTCATTCATATTAGTGCCAGGTTCATTTCTTATGGCTTCATTCATATTACTCCCAGGTTCATTTATTGTAGCTTCATTCATATTAATGCCAGGTTCATCTCCTATGGCTTCATTCATGTTAATTCCAGGTTCATTTTCTATAGCTTCATTCATATTAATGCCAGGTTCACTTGTTATGGTCGATATCACATTAATTTTCATGTCATTTGTTTCATTTAAATTAATCTCTGAATGATATATTTCATTAATCTCATCTACAGTAGTAATGGCATTTATTCCATTTGCATTAATGCCAGGATTATTATTACTGTTTTCATTATTCTGTCCATCTGATTCATTCGTGTATGTTTCTTTTATAATGTTTGTATTATTTAATTTTTCATTGTGAAGTCGAAGTTTTTTGATGTGTTTTTTACCTCTCACATGTTTGAGACATGCTTTATTAGTTAGATAGATATAGCATACATTACAACATATAGCATTTTCTTTCACCTCCATAATGTTATCTTTCAGGAGTTCTCTGTATTTATCTATATGTTTCCGACTTTGCGTATGAGATTCCACACTATTTCTATTATTTGCAACAAGTATGTCGCATAGCGTACATTTCAAATCTACTTTACTATCAGTTGATAAAAGCGTATAATATATTTGTGTAATAGTTGCATATATATATTTAAATGGTGCAATGTTTTTCCGATGCTTCTTATTTTCGTTGTGAAGTTTTATTCCATTTTTATCATTTTTAATAGATTTATCACATATGGCACAGTAATAGTTCTCGTCATCTATTACACTTTCCATATGTTTCTTGTGATTTGGGTTATATGTATGTAGTAATTCATTTCTTATCATTACCACATCAAAACAGACCATGCAAAAGAATTTTTCCAAATCAATGGAAACTAATCTATTGTCCGATAAGTATTCTCTGTACTTTTGTTTGTGATTTTCTGAGTCCACATGACTTTCAACATTGTTGTCATCGATATCGCAAACTCTACATGTACTTGTATTAACTGTGTATAAGTAATGATAAGGAGATTTGGTATTCCATATATGTCTTGAGGTCAAGGAATGTTGCCTTTGGCTGTTTTTTTTTTAGTTGGATATTACAGTACTTGCATGTATGGTTTTCTGTAGAATCATTAGTTATAACAGAGCCATCTATACTAGTTTTGTTTAAAACAAAAGACTTGTTGTCATTTAAATGATCATTGTTAGGTTTCAGATTGTCTAAAGATGTGACATTTCCCTGGAAGTTGAAATATTTGAAAGCAGTTTCAAAATTTTTGCTATGGTTACTATCTAAGGCAGTGTGTGTTGAGTAATTTTCAGTGATAGTGTTGCAAAGAATGCAGTGGTACCACGATGGATATATCTGAAAAGATAAAAGTATCTTTAAGTAAAAGAAAAGATAAAACATTTAAATGTCTGATAAGTCAAAGGATAAAGAAAGATCGGTTAATTAGGAGAATTTTACATTTATTTATAAAGTCGGCTAAAAGAATAATATATGTAATGGAATATTACCTCTCTTATGCAGTTAATATCTGTAATTGGCGCAGTCACTCTATAAGCATGTTTTGATCCTCGAATATGTATGTATTTATTCTCAGTTCTGAAAATTTCTTTGCAAACAATGCACTCAACACAACCCCCGTCTCGGTTTAAGATACCATGAAAATTATCTTCGTCAATTTCTAGTTTGTTTCCATCTATATCTATCAGTAGTCTTCCTTTACTGATCACTTTTATATTAGTGGTCATTTTGTGTTTATATTTCAATTCATTCAAATAATTTTCCATATCAAAATTATTCAGAACATCTATTGGCTTCGTGTTTTGTATTGCATTTAGTAGTTTATCAGCTGCCTTTGATTGTGCAACTTGAAATTCCAAAGTATTTTTTATGTTATCCGTTGAATTTGTATAAAAATCAAGAATTTTTTTTATATATCTGTCAGTAAGGACAGCGTTCTTGTGATCTGTGGAATTATCGTGTTTTTGTCGATCACATACTTCTGTAACAGTAGTGCAATGAGGACAGAAATATTTCAACGAGTCTCTTTCTTCTGAATACACATTATTATTGATTTCATCTTTTAGCCTTTCCAATGCTGTGTTAGCTATTTTTAAATATGCTTTATGTTTAACACCATCTCTGTGTTCTTTGAGATATTTCACCGGGACATCAATCTTGCAAATGTGACACATAGTCGTTTTTAGGTCCTGTTTGTGTGTTGAGGCATCTGAAACAGTTAGGAGTATTTGCTCATTATAAATGTCCATCAAACAACTTGAACCGACAATCACAAGGAAATGCAGTTTAAGTTTAACAAGAACAAAACATTAAATAAGATCTTTCTGTAAGGCCTCGGCCTCGAATTTTGCGGGCAGCGGAGCGGCAGCGGGAGCGGCAGGATCTTACGCGTATAATCAAATGGACTGACCCTCGAATACAGCGGTGCCCGCTGCCCGCTAGTTTGGAGAAATGTATGCGTTTCCGTGCCGCCGCCGCCGCCGCTCCGCTGCCCGCAAAATTCGAGGCCGAGGCCTAATTTTCAAAAATAACTTTTGTAGCTTTTATGTGGGGTTTCTGTAATAATAGAAGATGACCAACCAATTTTGTCTACTATCTACTTAAAGAATAAAATATTTTTGGTGCCTCTGTTTTTTTCACCAACTGAAAAACCGTTGTTACTTATCCTAGCTAAATTATACAGGGTGACTGGTGAATTACTATCAATATTTAAAGAGAATACTCGGTACATGATTCTCATTCGAATTATGTAAAAAAAATAGGCACTTAATTTTTGACAAAATTTCCGTATAAATAAATAAAGTGTTGACACGTTCCAATTGTTAAAGTGTGGACGCGTGCGGCGGCGTGCTGATACAACACTACGTCACGACACGCGTATGTGTGAGTGTGAGTGTATACCTAATCTGTAGGGTGCTCACACGATGCGTAATTAATTACCCAACTTTTGGTTGACTTTACTTAGAAGTTTATTAATATTTATGTTATATTAATTTTTATTTTGTCATATATGATCGTCAAATATCACGTCCTCAAATATCGATAGTAATTCACCAGTCACCCTGTATATCAGTTCTTTAAGAAGCATTATTACCCATGTTGGGAATAATTATTTAGTTTAAATTTTAATGCCTTTAGATTGTGATAGTATCAATAAAGTACATATCATAATATATTTTATATACTTAATAAATATGTAAAGTAACATATAAATGTACATATGACATAAATATAAAAGGATATAATCACCTTTATCAGTCTGATCTTCCAATGGATTATAGGAAATACGAAATTCACATTGTTCATTGTTTAAGCTCCACAGCGGCATATTTCTCTTTGGAGAGTAAGTATTTGGTAAGAGACCTAAGTCCATTTCATCCAAAGGTATAATGTAGGCGGCGCTCATTTTGCTGTAAAATGTTTTTATTAGAAATTATAATATACATAATAAGAATTTTATTTAAATTTAAGATATATTTGAATGCTTTAAGAAATTAATATCCATGAATTCCCTTTGAAACAATGTTTCATATCATAAAAATGAGGTACATTTCTGGATGAGATATCATTTTAATTTATATAAATTATAACAAGTGAACTTAAAAATTAACTAAATTTAAATAAATACTTAAAAACAGCCTGAAAATTAAAAAAGGTTCAATAGCAAAACTATTGATATATCTGTGTAACCAACATAATATATTTATAAATCTTCAATAGCAAAGGGCTTAACAGAATTAACATTTTAAATAATACATTCTGAACAGGCACAAATATACACAGTTCATTGTTTAGAATATTTACTTTGAAATAACCTTATATTTTACTACTATTGAAAAGTTATAAAATTATTGTTGTACTGTCAAATTTATTGAAATCAAATGTTAACTACTTCAAGATATAAGTCGTTCTTCTGACTGTAATTTGTATTTATACTGAGGAATCAAGTTAAAGTAGACTAAGTAATGGAACAACAAAAGTAACAGTGACACATGCAATTAATATATTGTTAAATCTTTCAGTGCAGAATACTTTTATGTCCGTTGGTTTTTATTATGGCGAGTGATTATTCTTATAGTTCTTTATACCTTGGGTTTCAAACATTTACAAGTATAAAATGTATAATATAAATAATGTCATATTCTTCATGAGTTGAAAATATCAAAAAAATATATATTAAAACACTCAAATATATGACTTTTTGTTGAAACATAATGCACCTCAACCTAATATTATATATTACTGTGTAAGCATTGTGTTTTTATTGGTTAGGATATATTACTGTGTAAGCATTGTGTTTTTCTCAATAAAGTTATTATTATTATTATCGCCGGGGCAAGATCGTTGTATGGATAAGATATCATGTAATGAGTGTCACTGCTGACTAAGTGGAACGAACACTAAGTCGTGTGAACCAGAAGATTCCTGATACCACACAAGCATTTAAATGGTATTGCTATCCTAACATCGAAACAATAATGAAGAATAAATAAGAATTAGGTATAGGTTATAAGTTGTAATATGTAATTCTTATTAGGAGTAAGTTTCATAGTTTTCCTGAACCTCTGGTTTCCTGAACTTAGTAACAGTATACTTACTGGCAAGGTTATACGTCTTAAGTTTGTATAATTTCTTTCAGGTCCTAAGCTTCTTAATGTATAAAACTAATAGAATAAAAGTAACTTCTCTTCACTTCAAAATTTCAGAGAAAATATGGACGATAGGTGCAACTTCCTAGTTTATAAGCAATGTCAGTTGTCACTAACTACCAAGCATTAGGCCAGCCGCAGCGATAAAGATATAGAAACGTCACTTTTGAATTAGGGACATCCCGGTAATAGGGCTGCCATGTAAAGATATACCTAGTGTAATCAAATAAATACTTTATAGATCAATATCTCAAATATTAACATTTATATATTAAAAATCAGCCTTATGTGAGCTTTGAATTGATCTTTAATATTAATAATTTCGTTTTTGTATTGAAATTTAGTATCTTGTACTATTGATACTATATTTATAGACGGTCCAAACGTACATAAAGATAAGTCGAAAATTGACTTCTTTTATTTCATCATTGGTTTTATATTGTCTATGCACACATACACATACATATTGACGGTCGGGAGCCAAATGAGGCTAACCGCCAATATGCAAACTTTACAGGAGAGAGGTTTAAAGTTCAAAAAAAATATTAAAAAATCATAAAAAAAAGTCTGCTTGATCAACTGGCTTAAAAATTTTGTCAGATAGCTTTTAAATGTGTCTCCTAAAAATGGCATTTTTAATTAACTTGAAACTCACCGCGTTCTTTAATTACCGGTCGGTTACCCTCAAAAGTTTCTGATTTAGAAACAGCCAAAACGTCCTAAGTCAAATTACTTTTGATTTCACTACAGGTCAAAAAGATCTAAATGCATATTAATTATTCTGCAAATGCAAGAAAAAAGCGTGTTAATAATATTTTAGTACGCATGAAGTGAGGTCAATATAGCATAAGTGATTATTCATTAAGAATAGGTGACAAGAAAATTGTGCTAAGTCAAAAATCTGTTAAATAATTAGTAAGCATTTTGAAACAATTAAAATCATTGCGAAAAAGTTTCAAAAGTGAACTACCTAATTAATAAATAAATAGAATTATTATGGCACAGAAAATCGGGTTTAATTTAATTTAATTTAAGCGTTATTCTATAATGTTTAATGACATGGTAAAGTTATATTAACCTCCAAATGTAATATCGGATAAGGGGCCTAAATGTATTAAATGCATATTTATTTTTTAAAGAAATTGAACAAACGTCATAACCATAAGTTTTGACAAATAATGATGCAAGCTCAAATTGACTAACTATTTTTTTTGCAATAAGTGTTTCCAGCCAAAACAAGCCAACGTTCAGGTAATAATTTTCTATTGAAAGCCAAAACAGCATAATAACCATTCATAAACTAGCACATTTAGTTCAACTAGCGTAATTAACAAAAACATCGAAAAATCTGTCGTGTAGGACGAAAGACACAAGGGAGCGTTCAAGTATTACGTAACGCAATTTGGGGGGGGGGGGGTCTCGTAAAACGTTACGATGCGTTACGGGGGCGGGAGGGGGTGTCTCTTACAAAACGTTATGTAGCATTGTTTCTAAAAATATATATTAATAAAAACCCCAAACTGGCAACTCTTTTCATATATATTACATTGTTGACCAGATTGTATTAGTCTGGTCGATATTTTTATTTGTTATTCCAAGTTTGCAAACCTCTTAATTGATATTTTACGGGGAATTTTTTTTAAAACTATACCAAACTATTACATATTGTTTTACGACTTTGGATGAAGTTGATTATTTGAGTGTTACGTAACGTTTTGCGAAGGGGGGGGGGGGGGGCTACAGAAAAACGTTACTGTGCGTTACGAGGGGGGAAGGGGGGGTCAAAAATTTTCGAAAAATACGTTACGTAATACTTGAACTCTCCCCAAGGAAAATAAAAAAAAATTAATTGACTAACCGCCAAAAAGTTCGCCTTAGAGCCATGAAACTTAGATCAAACGACGCAGAAAAAAAGCTGATTTCAACCATATATATAAGTCATTTTCGCCTAAAATGTCGGTTATCCCCTTTTGGCCGTAAACCATCGATATACACTGACATACGATTTTTTAATTTATCGTAATTAGTTACCTTATGTTACAAATCGTGTCATATTTGCCGATATAGTTTCCCGAACAAGGTATAGGATGACGCTTATTTTTTAACATGCTTATATTATCTTTAGGTGGTAGAGCCTAGCTGTGGTAAGTTACTACAGCTCGAACATGGGCTGGTTCGACCGGGGATGTACCACCCTCTCACAGAAGATCGGCGTGAAGTAGCCTTTAGTGGCTGCGTTTCGTCCGATGAGTGAGAGAGCCGGTTGCCCTTTTCGTATTTCCCACCCTTTCCTACCATTCCCTTATTCCCACTCCTTCCTATTCCTGAAAAAACAAGGTTGGCAACGCATTCGCAACAAACATGTTGCGGATGTACATGGGCGGCGGTACTTCCTTACACCAAGTAGGCTGTCTGCTCGTTTGCCACCTTTGAAATAAAAAAAAAAATTAGCTTGAGCTTGGGCTGTATGTATGTATGTAACGGAATCTTTGAGCACGATTTTCACTGGTTTCTGAACATCTGATTAACTTGAAACTTTGCATATGTCTCAAGAACCAATGACAATGCAATAATTCCTCAACAATTTCCCATTGTCCTTGTTAGGGCCGCCAGGATTAATATATTCTTTTCATGAATATTCTATGAGAGGGAAATACACAGAGCTAGTGTGCGATTTGCGCATGTCCACAAAATACTAATTGATAAATCGTACTAAAAAAATATGAAAGAAATATTAGTTACAACTTACAAGCGTGTTTTTTTTTTCACTAACAGGTGTTTATTTTATTTAATAAAACAATATATATGTATTGGTACAGTTTAGATTAAGTGACCTGTTACTTAGTTATAGGTACTCATATTACCTCCAACTAATATAAGACATGGATAAACAACACATCAAAGTAATAAGTGTATGTTAACATTTGGAGAAATTTTGTTTTATGGGTTTCGGAAGCACAAGTTTTATTTGATTACATCGATAAAGACAATACGTAATCTTTTCAATCGACACTTTCGATTCACGGTGCGTGTGCCGTGTCCATCGTTGTAGTGAGAGGAGCTTCAACAGTGCCTGTGACTTGCGACCCAGGTGTAGGTTTAAGGGACCCTATCTAACGCTCGTTAAACGATCACCTCCACCGTACAAGCTCTTCTCTCTACCTAACACAATATGAAAAGAACCTACCAGAGCTGCCTTAAAAGTACCTTCGGAGATTTAATTATTGTGGATTCTGGACAAGCTCAAGTCTTTTAGTAGGTAATAGAGAGATTTAGCTGTTATACCTCTCGCTCCCATCTCTACCGCGTACAAATCCACGACGAACCTATTTTGAGTGAGATCATTAGTGAGCTCGTAATATTTATTGACCTTGATGGTATGATCTTTGGAGATATTGGAATCCCAAGGAACAATGGGCTCTATCATCACAACGCGCTTTAAAATTCGCGAATACATAAATATGTCTGGTCTGGAGGCCGACGTACAAATATCCTCGGGGATTTTGTATTGTTTCTCATACGTATCCATCATGATAGTCCAATCCGAAGCCGCTTTAAGGATAGAGTAAGGCTTGACGTTTGATTTTATATCCCTGGTGCCCTCTCTCACAAAACCTATTGATCGTTCGTTTGTGGTTATTTCCCTTTGCGCTCTGGCTACCGAAAGACTAACCGCTTTACATATGATTTTAAGAACCCTATCGTGACGACGCGAGTATTGACCGCTGTAAAGGCCTAGATGACATCTGATAATTTCGACTACGCTCAATAATTTATTATTCAAGTACTAGTCATTGCGCCGATATATTATATATCATAAGACAATTATGTGTATATACAGTGAACCTCGTTAAGTCAGTGGTGGCCTAGTGGTTAAAAGGCCCGCCTCTCTTGCATGAGGGTGCGGGTTCGATCCTGGCAAGTACCAAAGTGATTTTTCCGAGTCATATGTATTTTATAAGAGTATTTAGACATCACTGATTAATGCATTCCCAAAGAGGGTTGATGTCAGGCAGGCGGCCGGTTGTAAAAAAAATTAGCCAAAACTATTCACACATGTTAGGCAGACCCTGGCTAAAACTGGGAAATTGCAAGGAAGAAGAAGATATCTTATAACTTATTAAATAATAATATGACTGATATTTTTTAAGTCAATGAGAAATAACATTCGTTCAGGACTTCAGTATTGTTATATACAGGTGTGAAGGAAAATAAAAATAAACATTAAACAAATCAATATATTTATTATTATAACAAAAACTTACTCAGCGACCGCCATATTTAATGAGTGCCAGTTCATTACAAAATGGCCGACTTATTATAAAATTACGATGCTCATAATATGTAATGATCAATTTTATTCGTTTTTTTCAATAATTCGTTATTACATATGAGATTGATACATATTTTAAGTGTGACTAGAAGATAATAAAAAATGTTCATCTCGAAATCCTTTAACTCATCTCGTAAAACAATATATACATACAACATACATATATAATACAATTTCGATCAAAAAACTACAAAATTTACTTATCGAGTTACAAAATGTCCATACAAAAATATATTTAAACTAAAATCCTTATCTACATACGAAAATATAATATCTAACTTATATCAAATGCGTGAAAAACGCAAAAAAAATATTTTTGCGGTAATTTTGACATACGTCAAGCGCCATCTTTGTTTTTATTGTAACCTCAACATGTAACTAACGCTCTACACTAATTTATTATAAAAAAATATAAACGAACGATTTATAATATAGTGAGATAGCGATATATCTGTCTTGCTCTCTCATACAAATATAATTACGAAGAACAGAGTGAGATAGCAATATATCTATCTCGCTCTCTCTCATACAAATATTATATTAAAAAATAGAGTGAGATAGCGATACATCTGTCTCGTTCTCTCATACAAATATAATATCTAAGAACAGAGTGAGATAGCTATACATCCGTCTCGCTCGCTCCTACACAAGAGAGGTTTTCCGTCTTCCAAGTATTAAAAGACGTGTGTAATACAAATAAAATGTTTATTTAGCGACACTTCTTAAGGAACTCGAGCACCTCGCTCGGGTAGTTGGCGCGGGACTTGGACGCGGAGCGAGCGTAGTCGAGCGGAGTGTCCGAGCTGGAAATTAAATATTATATAATGAGATACATAGACATATAAAGAAAGTTCTAGAAGCTTCTAGAAGACACGTCTTATCGATGGAAACTAATACATATACTAGAAGACTTGCCGAACTTCGTATCGCAATATAATCAAGAAATATCTGTTACGTTTTTTATTTATATTTTTGGAGTTTACCTATTAAAGCAATAAATCTCCGTATTTTGAAGTGCGACAGAATTATTGACATATTAGTTAGTTGTCAAATCTAATGTCAAAAAAAACGTTCGTATCAACAACTACTAATAAATTAAAAATTATTAAAAAAAACATTGTCCAGCGGACGAAATTGTGAATCTAAGACCATTCCCAGATCCCCTTGAACATACACAAAAAATTTCATGAAAATCTATCCAGTCGTTTGAGAGAAGTTCAGTGACATACACACTCACAGAAGAATTATATATATACATATATATGTGATATAAGCAACACGATAGCTCAGTAGTTAAAGTGCGTGTGACGTCACTCGCCGTATATATATATTTATTTATATACACGTACCTCCTGTTCTGTATGTGCGCCAGACTCCTCCTATCCTTGATATTAATGTGATGGAACAGTATCATCACTATCTTGAGGTCGCACGACGCTGAGTTAACTGCTAAGTGGAGAGGAGTGTCACCGCCTTTGACGTCCTGGAAAAATAAATTAATATATTAGGAAAATACTTATTTATTTATATAATAGGATCACCAACAGAAATGAAAATAGTATTACAAAATATATAGTTAACAATTGAACACACTTGATAATTGTATATCTTTTTATAGGTAAATATATTAGACATTAGTAATTATCACAAGATTGTTTTATTTCGATCAATTATATAATTAGAAAGAAATTGAATTATTTAACTGTTATAGTATATACTAGTGTCCTAGTGGTTAAAGTTCCGCCTCTCATGCATGAGGAGTTCGAAACCTGACAAGTACCAATGTGATGTTGCTAGTCATATGTACTTTAAGAGTATTTAGACACCACTGACTGATGAAGGAAAACATCGTGAGGAAACATGGACTTATCTAATTATAAGTTTGAAATCGCCAACCCGTCTTGAGCGAGCGTGGTGATTAATGCTCTAACCTTCTCCATGTGAAAAAGAGGCCTTTACTTAGCAAGTGGGCTAAGATATACTAACTATGATGAGTATAATGTCTGTTATATATATACTCACCCCCCTCCATAAGTCCGCCCCCGCGTGTCTCAGCAGCACGTGCAGCACGTATGCCGCGCCCGCGCCGCCCGATGGCCGCGTGCAGCACGCGTGCAGCGCAGTGTAACCTGAAAATACCATACAATAATCAACTCTCAATTTCCATGTTTAAATCTCGACTTAAACCATATTCCGTGTAACGATTCTGTGTTAAAATTATTAATTGAAACTGTTATCTCATCTGTTTCGCTGATTCGAACGAATTGTTATATTTATAAGTTAGTTATAAGTTCTCATGTAAATGACGTTGTCGTAATGAGAATAAAGTTCTTAAACTGAACTTTTGATCGTATGAAAGAAACTAATGTTTGCGGATGTACTACGCGACTTTATTTTTGATGGAAACTACATACTTATTTTATTCGTATTTTTCGTATACTACGCGTAATTATTATTTTAACTACATACTCCCGATGTGTCGGTTACTTTTCATCAACCCTGATCATAAAGACGAGATGTGAATGTCTGTCAGTTGGTCGTGTTATTTATTATCTCGTCATTTTGATAGTATATTTTTTATTATTCAGTTATTTTAATATTAAATTAGAACACAACAATATTTTTAAATTCTCAAATTAAAAACAATATATGAACAAAATACTTTAAATGAATATCTGGTTATAAATATTCTGGTTGGCTCTATTTTCATTATAGTGGTTCTTGTATACTAAATGTGTGAATTCCAATATTCTGAATGTTAGAAGTAATTTTTAATTTTAGTTCAAAGTTTTTTAAGTAAAGAAAAACGAGTTAATTGATGATTTACACAGAAACGATCCACTTTGAAAAAGGAAGTCACTTCCCTGGCAAGATTCCATCTGTCCTAGAGACATATCGACAGATTCTTGATTGGGTTTCTGTTCTAATGCTATTCTATTCTATAACTATTCTATTTTAACTAAGAAGAAAGAGTTGAATTCAATTTTAGAAAATATATTTGCATTGTTATATTCTAGTAAATTGAATAGAAACGTTTATTATTTGAGTTATAATCACGTTAAGTAATTATGAATCTAATTAATATTATATATAAAGGCTATATTGGTCTGATTGTGGTTCATTGACAGTCAATGGAAGGAGAGAAATAATAAAGCTATTTAAACATATATTATGAGAAAAAATAAATTTCTAGAACATCCGACCTGCATTGATGATTCGATATTATTTATTTATTTCATTTATTCATTTGTAAAAATGCTTAACAATGCAATTTACAGTAAAAGTTGACGTCTACACTAGGCTAGGCCTGTATCGTGGACATCGATTCATTTCAAGCAGACATGATAACGTAAATTATAACTACTCTTATAATAATAGTAAATTACAATCACACAGAGAGTGGTACTGTACTTAAAGTTGTTAACTAACTACAGTAATACCCCACTTAACGCGACGGTTTCACTATAACGCGATTTTCAAAAATTTCTTCAGGTTGGGACATTGCAGAGTATAGACAATAATGATGACCGTGTCTTGAACGTGTGTCAAACGATTAAAAACAGTGTTGGGTGTTATGAACGTATTTTACAAGAACGTGAACAAAACGCTACCCAAAAGACAATACATGTATTTTTTCGTAAAAAATAGAAGTACCTATGTTAGAATTAAAGTGATTGATTAAAATGATTTTTATATTTGTGTATTATATTTGACTGTGTTTAATCATAAACCTCGATATACGCGGATTACAGTTAACGCGATTTTCTTCGGAACGTATCCCTCGCGTAAAGCGGGATATTAATGTATACTGTTCTTAATCTATTATAATTATATTTACCGTTAGTATTAGTGTGGTGTATATTAAACAGAGGCGGGTCGTTCTCCTCCTTCCTCACTAGTTCGCTCAGTGTGTCGCCACATTCGTCGCCAGCTCTGGCGCAAGCTATGAAGAGGTTGTCACCGAGGTCGTTGACCTGTTGAAGTTAAATTATTATTTAATGTTTTTATAGTTTTGATATGTAAGGATATTAATATTTATCATTCACTAGCTTTCCGCCCGCAGCTTCACCCGCGTGGAGTTCGGTTATATCGCGTTTCCAAGAGAACCTTTCATATCTGGGATAAAAACTATCCTTTGTTCTTTCTCAAGGTCAACTCTGTCTGTACCAAATTTCATTAAAATCCGTTCAGTGGTTTAGGCGTGAAAGCGTAACAGACAGACAGACAGTTACTTTCGCATTTATAATATTAGTAGGGTGGTGTAGGTTTATTTATGGCACTCTAAACTGAGAGTATTAAGTTTGACTATCACACGTAGTAAGGATGGACATGTGAACACATATTTTTTATTACATTTTCAGTCTTATTATATACTAGTTTTTGTCCGCGGCTTCGTCTGCGTTCCTTTTTAGGTAAGAACTTAAGAAGATTTTGTATTTGATCAACATATTTATTTCTTTTTCAATCGTATGTAAAGTATCCTATGTCCTTTCTATGTTCGAATCTATCTCTCCACCAATTTTCATCCAAACCCGTACAGCCTTAAGTTATAAATAGTGTAACTAACACTACTTTCTTTTATATATATTTATTACCTCAGTGAAGACATATTCGTTAGTAGGTCTGTACGTCTCGCTGCGAGTCACTGTCCTAACACATTGAACCAGGTATCGAGTCAGAAGTGGTATTTTCCGACACCGAAGAACAGCTGATGCTAGAAGATTGTGTCCTGGAAGGATTTAAATTATATTATTTAAACTAAAATATACAATATATGGTCCTTACATAGAAAATTAGTGTTTTGTCGTAATGTTAACTTTGATTTCAAATATCGTCTCTTTGGCTAAGAATTTCTATAACAATTGTAAACAGCTAAAATACTAGCGTGGAGTTCGGTTATATCGCGTTTCCAAGAGAACCTTTCAAAAGTCTGGGATAAAAACTATCCTATGTTCTTTCTCAAGGTCAACTCTCTCTCTGTACCAAAATTTCATTAAAATCAGTTCAGTGGTTTAGGCGTGAAAGCGTAACAGACAGACAGACAGAGTTATTTTCGCATTTATAATATTAGTAGGGATTTTTGTTTTTCGAAAACTTTAATGCTATTTAAATGAAACTAATATTTATCGGATACACTACATGACTTTATTTTTCGTACTCCCGACGTTTCGGTTACTTTACAGCAACCGTGATCACGGACAGACGAGATGTGAGTTTTAATCGTATCGTACTTTTATTAATATTAGAAAAACTGCGAGATTAAAATCTTTGAGGTAATCTCAAGTTTATTAGAGAAAGAAGTACATCTCAATTAAATATACAAAATCGTATAACATTTAAAATATAACATGTAATAATAAATAGTCGTAGTAATAAGAAAAAACATAGTTTAATTTTGAACTAAATATAATTCTGAATACACCGATTAAAAATAATTTTCAGTCAGCCAAACGTTCAAATATTGTAAATAGAAGTAAGTTAAGACGATTTCAGTTTTTGATCGTTATGTATATAGATGGATGGTTGGTTTGAAGATGGATGGATGGTTTACTCACCGAATTCATCCACAAACAGCCCTGGTTTCAGGGCGAGAACCTTCTGGCAGATCAGACTAAATAGAGCCATTTGGAAGGGATCTTCTTTGGTGGAGAGACTCGCCAAAACGTGGTGGAGTATACTGGAAAGATATTATCATCATCATCAGTCTATCAGAGCCCACTGCCGAGCCTCTTCTCACATGGAGAAGGTTTGAGCATTAATCACCACGCTCGCTCAAGACGGGTTGGTGATTTCAAACTTATATTGAAATAAGTCCATGTTTCCTCACGATATTTTTCTTCATAAGTCAGTGGTGTCTAAATACTCTTATAAAGTACATATGACTCGGAAAAATCACATTGGTACTTGCCAGGTTTCGAACCCGAATCCTCATGCATGAGAGGCGGATCTTTAACCACTAGGCCACCACGACTTATTATACTTTTGTATTGCAATAAACCTTATCAGTTTTCACTATCTATTAAACATAAAAAGTTTTATCGTTTATTGTCGATCAATATTGATTAATTTTGCGAAATTATTGCAAATTCTTTGCATATTATATCAAAATAAAATAACTGATTTTAAAATAAGATGAAGTAACAATTTGACGAGATCAATACAGAATCACGACTCATACACGTGGGTCATAAATCAAAGAAAATAAAGATAATATATGTTTCTACATATATACATATATACATATGTATATATATTTTTAATACTTTATACGCTTGAACGAAAATTGTATATATATATTTAATATTGTGTTATATTAGTAGTTGAAAGTTAGGACACGATGGCTCATTCAGAAAAGTAACTGAATGAATTTAGTAGGTCACAGGTTCGAGTCATGCTAGTATTGACGTATTTTCTATTTCAATATGAATTCATATAGTACTTAAAATATTGGGCTCAATAAATTTTTGGAGCTAACTCTATAAGTAAGACAGTTAAATAGGAAATATCGTATATATGTATGTGATATTTTTCTTTTACGATTCAAAACTGTTGTAAGAAAAACGTTCAGCTATTTCGATATACATATATATTTTAATATAATGAATAATACATTATAATTGTACATTCAAATTCTTCTCCCAATTACTCAATGTAATTGTCCTATTTTTACTGTTCAAACAAATAAAATGTATAAGATATAAGATAAGTATTTTTCAAAACTTATTATGTTTCAATACGTAAAGAATAATAATTTCTGTTAGAGATTTAATAACATAAAAAACTAAGTAATTAATCTCTATTCACATGTTTTGTAACCTAGTTATCACGATTTTTTGTTTATCACTATATATATCTTTATATAATTCTTCTGTGAGTGTGTATGTCACTGAACTTCTCTCAAACGACTGGACCGATTTTTATGAAATTTTTCGAGTGCGTTCAAGGGGATCTGGGAGTGATTTAGATTCACAATTTTATCCGCTGGACACTGTTCTTTTAATTAATTTTTAATTTATTAGTATTTTTAATAAAAATAATATTTGGTGTATGCATTGCGTTTATATTATTATATTCTAATTGGGGTGTTTGAGGGTGTGCGTTAATTATGTTACACGTTGTATATATAAAATAAAATCTCGTAAAAGCTGTGATACTGTAATTTGTTTCATGTGAAACCATTTTTGTTATGCGATGCGTCACTGGCTGTAGAGAGCATCTGAGTGAGTCATGAACACTTGTTGGGAGTTAAAAATAGGAAGAAGCATAAATACATAATATATATACTAGTTTTTGCCTGCGACTCCGTCCGCGTGAACTTCAGACTTGGCCTCAAAGAGAGAGAGAGAGAGAGTCTTTTCGTTTTAAATAACCTACATACAGTCAGTTCCATCTACTGGCATGATTTGTGAATCTAAACCTTCTGGAGTCACATAAATGTATACAGAATTTATTCAAATCGGTCCAGCCGTTTAGTAGTTAAGTGACATACACACGTACAGTGAATGTACATGTATAAAGATGAAATTATATACCTACTTGATGAAGTACACAGGAACATTTTGTCATATTTTTTGTCAGATAATTTCAATACTTCATTTTCCGTTAGCAATGACACTGTCTACATATTTCACGCCTAAACCACTGAGCTGATTTTAATGAAATTTGGTACAGAGATAGAGTTGACCTTGAGAAAGAACATAGGATAGTTTTTATCCCAGACTTCTGAAAGGTTCTCTTGGAAATACGATATAACCAAACTCCACGCGGGCGAAGCTGCGGGTGGAAAGCTAGTTTGACAGTAAATATTAGAAACCTCACCTAAAAAGGTTCAGTAGTAGTGGCGTGATGAACACAAGGCTATTAGTAATTCTGATGATTAATATTTATTTTATCAACAAAGCACCTGTTCCGGTGATAACTTATCAATGCGTTTCTATGACTTCCTATTTTAGGAATTTGTATTAGTAATCATATAATTATACATATAAATATATATATACATATATATTATTGATAATGAACGTAACAAAAACAATTGTTAAAAGAAAATTTAAAAAAAAAGGTAAAATAATATTTCATAAGGCAAGAATATAGACATAAATCTTTGATTAATAAAATAAAAAATACTACAATATATAAGGAAAATTAAATATGTAAATTAGCAAGTGAAACAGTATACATATACATATATATATATATATATATATATATATATCAATTAGGGATCTCTGAACTTTGCAAATTATTCAACATTCTAAGATTATCCTTCCTTGAACATTAGCGTCTTTTGTAATTGAAATAATTTCAAAAACAATTCCTTACATAGTAATCTATATATATAAAAATGGATTGCTGTTCCTTAGTCTCACTAAAACTCGAGTACGGCTGAACGGATTTATCTTATCTTAGTCTTGAAATGTTCGTGGAGGTTCAGGGAAGGTATAAAAGCTGAAAAAAATTGATTCGTTACTGGGAAAACCCTAAAAACAGCCCTTTTCTATTTCCCATACAAAACGTTTTCTTTGACATTAGATTTGACAACTAACTAATATGTCAATCATTCTGTTCGATTGAAACAGGAGAAACCTGATTATTAATGGCCTCTAAAACGGAATAGAGTTCGCCCGGTCAGCTATACATATATTACTAATGACGAAACTGACGCGGACGAAGTCGCGGGCAAAAACTAGTATATAATATATATAAGAATGTAGTTTATACATATGTATTAATAATTAAATATAATTCCTGCATTTTAAATCATTGAAACAGGTTTTAATAGTTATGTGGATTTGCTAATTAGATTTAAAAATAAATGTATATCTTTATTGACTGAACGATACATTATATACTATGTGTTATTATTATATACTAGTTTTTGCCCGCGACTTCGTCCGCGTTAATTTCATCATTAGTAATATATGTATAGCTGACCGGGCGAACTCTATTCCGTCCTAGAGGCCATAAATAATCAGGTTTTTCCTGTTTTAATCGAACAGAATGATTGACATATTAGTTAGTTGTCAAATCTAATGTCAAAGAAAACATTTGTATGGGAAATAGAAAAGGGCTGTTTTTTAGGGTTTTCCCGGAAATGAATAAATTTTTCTCACCTTTTAAACCTTCCCTGAACCTCCACAAATATTTCAAGACTAAGATAAGATAAATCCGTTCAGCCGTTCTCGAGTTTTAGCGAGACTAAGGAACAGCAATCCATTTTTATATATATAGAAGATGATATATATTGTTAAGTTGCATTGAAATTCATTAAGCAATTACTGTGCAAAACAGTAAGCAACAAGCTCTATACATATAAAATTACCTCAATACTTTTAAAGTAAGGATAAATTTTATCAATCGTGATTACTTAGTTTATTTTACACGAGTAGAATTGGGAGTAGTAATTAGTCTTGTGATCAAAATGTATGCATATAATAGAATATATCTTTTGGCAGGTTTTCGACCGGTGACCATATATGTATATGTTATATATATATATATATATATGAGTAGTACAAAATAGTAGATATTATCAATATCTTTTATACAAGGAAAACTATTTATGTACTGGCTTCCTCATGTCAACTGTAGCTGACCTTGGGGTAATGGAATAAGCCGATATTAATTAATAAAATCAAAATGTCACCTATACACGAAATTTATTTGACATTTTTTGACATTTCTCATTATTAATATTTGATGAAAATTATCAGTTTTCAACCGGAAAGTAAGAAAAATTATTTTATATAGAAAATTCGATTCAAATTCATGGAAAAAGATTATCTTTACAAAATTCGTATTTATGTTTATTTATCTTTGTAAAATATCTTTGTTATCTTAATTAGTAAGGATAATTGGATCATTTTATCTTATAAAGCAGATATGTTTTTAAAAATGAATATAATCCTAGCCCAAGAACATCCCTAGCGGTTATTTCTCAAGGCTAACCGCATTTTAAGCATTTTTTAATGCTAGGAGCAAGTTTCACCAAAATCTGTTAAATTTAAACGATGCATTTACTTATGAACCTTGAAAAATAAAATTCTCTCTCAAAATATTTACGTTCCACGATGGAAAATTAACAACGCATTATTAAATGACCTACCAAATTATTCGTTCTTGTTATAAGACGACCAAGTGGAAACTATAGCGTTTAATACGACACGTTTGCCACGATGCACCACTTTATACTTTGATCGTATATATCCCTCGATACGTCACTTGTAAGCTAATGCACACAAATATTATATATCGTTGGTTGCATACATTTGGCACACAAAAAGCTTTCTTTTCAATTTACTAGGTGTAACTTGTCAAAATCGTGTTGTCAATAAATTGTGTTATAAATATAGACATAAATTGTGTTCAAATTATAAGAGATAAAAAGAAAATTTAATTTGCAATGTCATAGAAAAGCTGGAGGCAAAATTTTCATAGGAAATGAAATTTTAATTCACTTTATTAATAAGTGCAAGAAATAGTCGAAACTGACAAACCAGATGACGTTACTATGGTTACAAGAAATCAGGGCTGTTATTTGACAATTGAGTTTAGACAATGTATTAACATTCTGTTAGCCATTAGACGGAGCTCCAGAGCAAGAATTAATAGTTATATATAATATATTAAATATTAGTGGCTTGTTAAGACATTTAAACGGACATTTGTGCGTAGTGGGACGCTCGATACATCTAACAGAGCATCAAACGCATTAACACGATGTTACTTATTTAACAATGATTGGTTAAACTGGCTCTAAAGTTTGTTCAAAATTACAACAGAATTAAAGTAGACAAATAGGCATATATGTGATATGTATTTAATGATAAGATAATATTTGTGTAGATGATTAGCAATATTTTTGATCTCAAAAACAGAATAAAGATATATAAAGGAAAAGAAAACATAAGATAAGATATGGAGAAGTTTTCTTAATACTTAGTGATACTCGAATTATACCACTTGTTCGTGGGTGGCAATGAATTTGTTGGTTTTGAAGGCACTATTTCAGTAACAGCTAATTTAGCATGAATATACCCCAAATTATAATAGGAAGAAATTAGAGATTCAGGCAAATTTTTACAATTTTAGGATGGAGGAATATTATCACTTCATAAAAATTATCTACATACTACAATTTAACGTATGCCTTACGTTAATAATAATGAGATTTGAGAATTACATTTTATAGTCCCTGTATACTCCTGAGTGAATCCTATGAAATACTAAGAGCTACTTTAATCCTGTACTAAAAACTGGCTAGATTGGTTTTAAGTCCGAAGCAAGGGGTCTTTTAGAAGTTGTTGGGTATATATGATAGCAGTATTTAATTTGTGTGAAAGAATTTTTCCTGGAATTAAGTACTGTTGTATTTTGCAAGAGGAGCGAATTTAATTGTCTTTTCTATGGACTCAATTAATCGTCTAAAGATAAGGTTTAGGATATCTCAATATTTAATTATTCGAGGTTATTTATTGTATTTCAATAATACATTCTGTAATGATGGATTTAAAAAGAATAGAACTATTTTAGTCATGAAAAGAAAATATGTTTGAACAAATATAATATCGTTAAATTTTAAAGATTGCAAAAAAATTATAAACCATTTAATATAAATTAATTTTCAGTACCAAAAAATAATTTTATGACGGCAATTTTTAAAGCATTTTCAGTATTTTAAGAGTATAATGTTTTTAATATGTCACTCACCCATAAGCTTCCTCCAATTTCAGGTTGGCGACTTGATAACAGAGGTATTTTCTGTCCTTCATAGAAAGTTTTTCCATGTATCCTTGGAAGATATCCTTGCAGGATTTCCTATTGACCTGACAGCACAATTTTTTGGAGAATTCATGTGCTATTTCTTTCTGCATGTCCCTATACTGTTTCATAGTCATGGAACTCGAATTCCTTCTTAGACTTCCCTCTTTTTTCTCCGCTGGTATCGGTATATATGAAATATCTTGGTATTTCTCATGATCAATGTTGCACATTGGTGATAAATTTGGATTATTCATGGATTTTTCGCTGACTGACGCTGGATAGTCGGCTAAAGTCGAACATCCTTCGTTGTCACTATTATATATTGATGATGTAGTCGCCGGTGATAGAATTGTTGATGCATCGGATATAGCATATAACTTCTGTTGATCATAGTTAAATTTTGGTGATTCGTTGTTAATTTCTTGATATTTTTCATTATCGCTGTTATAAATAGGTGATGATGTGGCCGGGGATAGATAACATTCGGGTGGGAAGCTGTATATTTGGGAGTCTGACATCGGACTTGGAAGATTTTCTGATCTAGGTGGTGTTGGGTATATGCATAGATTATTCATAGTATCGTCGAATTGTTGTAATATTTCGGTGGAAGACTGTATTGGGGCTGATTTTTCTTGGACAAAGTCTAGCGCTGTTTCGAAATCAGCTGCCTGCTCCTGTTTCGAGTACTGCTTGAAGTCGTTCACGCTTCTGTCGAGCTGTGTAAGTGCTACAGACAGTTCTGGACATGTTTCAAGTGTGTTCGTCTCATTAACTATCAGATTACCGCCTGATAAAGTCTGAGGGTTCACTTGACTTATCTAGAAGATAGAAATACATTTATATAATTAAAAAGTGAATTTTTTAATGATATACATATGTAGATATTTGTAGACGTAAAATATGTTTTTTTCTTTTGCTATGATGTTTTATAATAAGATTATTATCTCTGGGAGAGCAGAGGATTTTAGTTCCAAAAATACAAATATTAATATAATTGATATAAACTTTTAATATGCCAGCATTGGGTATAATTTTATTAGACTTTTCTATAGTTTTGGCCTCGATTACTTTACAAAAGACGTCTGAGCAAAACCACAAAAGTGAATTTGAAGTGTTAATTATTAATATAGATTGAGGAAAGGATTTACAATAAATAAACTAAATTCTCATGTACTTAAAGAATCGTTTTTGCCAAACTATTATCATACTCGTAAAACAAAAAATATACGTAGACGTTTCCAAATAATATAAAGCTATTTTAATTTAAATTTACACTAAAAAAGCAATTACTTAAAAAAATTGAAAATAAATTGGAATCGCAGGTAAGTATATAAATATATAAAAAATAGTCCAAGTCCAGCAAAATATATTGTGAATAGGAAAAGTAATGTTAAATCTTTTATAATATTTTTTGTAGTCTTCTCGTTGTAAAGGTGATAAACAAAAAATTAGACGAAATCGTGTTCTTTATGTAAAAGTTAAAAAACTGTTAGTAAAATACACTCTAACTGTGGTTTTAAACGATTTTTTACGTTTTGATAGAAATAGTTATTTGTAACTTTAGATTGGAATGTATAACTAATTCGAGCTTGGTCCTCGTGAAACAATTTGGCTGTGGTACATTCATTTTGGGGAGTTTTTGACAAAAATATTATTAAAATTCTATGTATAATTTTGGATTACTTAAATAGAACTATATATCTTCGGATTTACAAGACTTTTTCATTATTTTAACTACATACTCCCGACGTTTCATCTCGTCTGCCCATGATCAATATTTCTGCTAGTGGAAACATCGGAAGTATGTAATTGATAGAACAAAAATCGCGTAGTACATGAGAAAATATTAATTTTCATTTAATATATATTTTTGGGACAGAAATGTATATATTTTTAATACCCAGTACTAAATTCCGTGTTATTCAAATCATTGTATCAAATTATAATGATGAAGTAATTATATGAGTATGTATACAGGGTGACTGGTGAATTACTATCAATATTTAAGGAGCATACTCGGTACATGATTCTCATTCGAATTATGTAAAAAAAATAGGTACTTAATTTTTGACCAAATTTCCATATAAATAAATAAAGTGTGGACACGTTCCAAGTGTTCCAAGTGTGGACGCGTGCGGCGGCGTGATGATACAACAACACGCCGCCGCGCGAGTGTGTGTGTGTGTGTGTGTGTGTGTATACCTAATCTGTAGGGTGTTCATGCGATGCGTAATTAATTCCATAACTTTTGGTTAACTTTACTTAGAAGTTTATTAATATTTATGTCATATTAATCTTTATTTTGTCATATATGATCGTCAAATATCACGTCCTCAAATATCGATAGTAATTCACCAGTCACCCTGTATATTTAGCTATTTCAATACTTACATGTCTATACGAATTGTTAGCTTCTATGTACGGATGTACGGATGGTATATAATCTGATACTTTATTCTTCTTCGGTCCTCTGTCAATGCGTACTGTAGTAATTTGTTTCTTCTTTTTATCATCACTCTTAATTTTGTCATCTACCTTCAAATTCTTAAGTGATTCTATCAGGCTATCTTCTTTCTGTTCTACTACGCTCGCTTTGTTGGTTATTTTATCAGCTATATTCAGATTCTGTAATGATTCAACTAAATCATCTTTACTTTCTTTTTGGATTTCTTCTTCATCATCAGTGTTTGTGAAGGTCTCGTCAAAGCCGCTTTCTCGCGATAATTGTGAACCTATAACGGTAGCTTTATCGTCTTTGATGACGTGGTATGAAAAATTCTTCAGTTCATCATCTTCTTCGTCCAATTTTGCTTGTCTTAACTCAAGCTTCTCCAGAAGTACTGAAACCGGCGTAACTTTAGTTTCGCTGCGCACTGTTTCTAATTTTTCATTATCTTTATTTTCTTTGATTTTATCTTTCTTCTGTTTGTCCTTCTGGAATAGTGCTTGGAATGGTTTTTTCAGAATATTCTTGATGCTCTTTTTATCTTCCATTGTCTTGGTAACTACGGCCACTTTTGAAGTGCCCATCACTATTCGTTATAATTTTCGCATCTGTAATAGAAAATAATTGTATTACTTTCTTATAATAATAATAATAGATATAGGTCCATACAAAGTATACAATAATTGCATTCCCAAAGTGTGTTGATATCAGGCAGACGGTATACGTAAAAACAATTAGCCAAAACTATTCACAACATGTAAGACAGACCCTGGCTATAGCTGGGAAATTGCCATGTAGAAGAAAGTAAATATATATAAATATATTGGTACTTATATCATCAATGAAGTGAAATTAATGAAAACTACTTAAAATAATGGATTTTTTTTCTGATTTTTATCATGATTTTACTATAACACACATAATTATCTTCTTTTAAGTTAGTTAAAGATAAAAACGAGTAAACCAACAGATAGGACTCAATTGTCCATTAGTTTGAAACACTCTTTCTTTTTTTAGCATATCAGAGCTCACTGCTGAGCAAATGCCTCTTTCTCACATGGAGAAAGTTTGAGTATTAATCACCACGCTCGCTCAAGACGGGTTGGTAATTTCAAACTTATAATTGGAAATTATAAGTTCAGGTTTCCTCACGATGTTTTCCTTCATCAGTCAGTAGTGTCTAAATACTCTTAGAAAGTACATACGACTCGGAAAAATCAGACTGGTACTTGCCAGGATCGAATTCGCGACCTAATAGGAGAGGCGGACCCTTTAACCACTAGGCCACCACTGACTACTACTACTCTTTCTTACCAATAATTATTTTTATCTAACTAAACCATCATTTTTTCACGTGAGACTCTCAATTTAGGTATACAAATGATGTACTTCAAACTGACTGTTTCTAGTTTTGTCGATACACTCGTGGTAAGAATTCACGACGCTATTGACGTAAGATTTTATGCTAAGTACATTTACGCTAAGGACATATCCGGTAAGTAAATTGATCACGTATTTCCTGTTTTTTTCAACTGACACTAATATAATATGTTTAGAATTTAATTCTAAGGCTTTATATATATCTTATATATATCTTATATATAATTCTAATGACGCGGTTTTAGACAGAGAACTCCGAAACGGCTGGACCGATTTTGATGAAATTTTGTGAGCTTATTGAGTAGCTCTGAGAATTGGACAACATTTATTTTTCATACCCCTAAGTCATAAGGGTTGTTCACCCTTAATTTTGTTTTTATTTATTTTGTATGACGTAGCATTAAAAATACATATAAGCAAAAATTTTTACTTTCATTTCAGCAACCCCTATTTTTATATATTAAAACAACGTTTGCCGGGTCAGCTAGTATCATTATATATATTTTTTTATTTATATTAAAATGTTTTAATTCATTTCGTATGTAAGTGAACGAACAGACACACATATACACATATAATATGTACATATATATATAAAACATTGTTTCGTTCCAGATGCACGAAACTTTATAAATAAATAAACTGACAATGTGACCTACACAAGTAATATATTTCGACAGTAATTGCTGTGCGGATAGACATACATTATATGTGTTTGTGTGTGTGTGTGTATGTGTGTACTTATATGTATATAATATAAATTAGTATTTAAATGTACATTAATCAGCAATCGTTTACTAACATTGGCTGTACCGGGAAATCTTTGTTTACATTTCACCCGTCAAATGTCAATGTCAAAGTCATAAATAAATATATAAATATATATATATATATATATATATATATATATATATATATATATATATATATATATATATATTTACGTTCTAATTGACATTGGCTGAATGCAAACATTACAAATAAGGTTTTATATGTTAATGATTTTTTACGCTTTTGGGCAAAGATCGAATTTTAATAAAAAAAAATAAGGAATGCAGTATTCTTCTTCTACCTGGCAATATCCAAGCTTTAGCCAGGGTCTGCCTTATATGTTGTGAATAGTTTTGGCAAATTGTTTTTACGTCCGGCCGCCTGCCTGACATCAACCCTCTTTGGGAATGCATTAATCAGTGATGTCTAAATACTCAGAAAGTACATATGACTCGGAAAAATCACATTAGTACTTGCCAGGATCGAACCCGCGCCCTCGTGCATGAGAGGCGGGCCGTTTAACCACTAGGACACCACTGACTTAGGAATGCAGTATTATGAGAGTATTATTTTAACATTTTACCGTGTTTCTGTCATTTTTATAACAATTTCCCTGTTTTGAGACGCCATGAAATACCCACACAGAGATTATAGAATGACGTACATGTGATGCATTTAATAAAATATTACCATATATTAAATAACTGTATTTATTTATTTAATTGATATAGTTAATAATTTGAGGTAAAATATAAAAAATATGTGCATACATATATATGTGTTGTATCTCAGGTAAAAGTTCATTAAAAATACATAGTACAACCATTACAAATATTATCCCTACAAATATTATAAATGCGAAAGTAACTTTGTCTGTCTGTCTGTCTGTTACGCTTTCACGCCTAACCCACTGAACTGATTTTAATGAAATTTGGTACAGAAATAGAGCTGACCTTGAGAAAGAACATAGGTTAGTTTTTATCCCAGACTTTCGAAAGGTTCTCTTGGAAACGCGATAAACCGAACTACACGCGGGCGAAGCTGCGGGCGGAAAGCTAGCTGTTAATAAATTGTGGTAGAATATAAAAAATATGTGCATACATATATACGTATATATGTGTTGTATCTGAGGTAAAAGTTTCATTAAAAATGGTACAGCCATAACAAAGATTATAATATATGAAGAAAATACTTGTGGTATTCCCCCCGTGAAGAAACCAAACGAGACAGTTAATAAATCAATCAGGATTTTGGGGTTCTGTAACCAAATGATAAAACCGAACCCTATGTTAACTTCTTCTTCTTCAACCTGGCAATTTCCCAGCTATAGCCAGGGTCTGCCTTACATGTTGTGTATAGTTTTTTCTATTTGTTTTTACGACCGGCCGCCTTCCTGACATCAACCCACTTTTGGGAATCAACATTAATCAGTGATGTCTAAATACTCTTAGAAAGTACATATGATTCGGAAAAATCACAACCTTAATCAAATTCAAATCGAACCCTATGTTAACTCTCCGTACATAACCAGGGCGAATATTATGCACAATGTTATTCATATTTATTCATCTATAAATTCAAAATAATAAACATTTTTTTTGAGTATAGTTTTACCTATGTAATTATACGGAACCACTCATACGAGACTTCTATTCGCATTTGGACAGTTTATTGTTTTAAAGAAATTTAAACATTGTGTAGTAAGTAGTGTGTTAGTTAATTTTTCTATTTAATTGGGAACTATTTTGAAATAATAAATAATATATATTAAAAGCAGATATTTAGTTTGAATCCACTATGTGTTAACAAAATTATCTTATATATAAGACTAAGTATATAAGTCAGTGGTGTCCTAGTGGTTAAAAGGCCCGCCTCTCATGCATGAATGCGCGGGTTCGATCCCAGCAAGTACCAATGTGATTTTTCCGAGTCATATTTACTTTTTAAGAATATTTAGACATCATTGATTAATGCATTCCCAAAGAGGGTTGATGTCAGGCAGGCGGCCGGTCGTAAAAACAATGAGCCAAAAACTATTCATAACATGTAAGGCAGACACTGGCTATAGCTGGGACATTGCCAGGAAGAAGAAGAAAGAGTAAAGAATTAATGTTCTGAATTAAATAATTTGCTTAAATATATCTAGTTTTTAAATCTAATCTTTTATCATTCTATACGCGGTTTTGTTTTCCAAAACTGGGATTACCCTCGTACTATGGCGAGCATAAATGGAATACTAAGAGAAAATTTATATTCTACTTGCATATGTAATGTACATGTACAATTCTATGACGTCATACAAACACAATTACTGTACACAATACACATGTACTAAGTTGTACACTAGTAATACCCCGACTTCGTTCGTTATTTTCATAAATAAGTTTAAATTATCACGTTAGATAGGGTCCCTTAAACCTACTCCTGGGTCACAAGTCACAGTCACTGTTGAAGCTCCTCTCACTACAACGATGGACCCGACACACGCACCGTGAATACATGGAATGATGAGAGGATTTGAAATTATATAATTTTGTTTTTAGTTAAACTGATTACTATGTATTGGTGGAAACTTCACTAGAAAAGTTACAGCAGTTCTCGAGATCGTAGCACACAAACATACAGACAACAATATTTAGAAACTGTTTTTGTTCCATTCCCTTATAAAGTAGTATAAGTATATATATATTATATAGTATACCTTACACATACAGACACACACACACACACAAATATATTATATATGTGTGTGTGTATTTGTGTGTATATTAGCACCTATTAAATTTCCAAACGGATTTTATAAAGCTTTCACTCAGCACCAGAAATTAAGGCGACATGACGTCAATACACTACGTTTAAAACAACTTAAGACAGGTCAATGACCCTGTCAATCTAGTTTCGAAAGGAATCGAACCCGTGACCATCGGATTACGCAATCCAATTACTTTGCTAACTGAGATATCGTGTCTTAACAAATATTGATGTTATTTTTCCGAGTCTAAGAGTATTTAGACACCACTGATGGTGAAGGAAATCATCGTGAGGAAACATGGAATTATATCAAATTATAAGTTTGAAATCACCAACCCGTCTTAAGCGAGCGTGGTGATTAATGCTCAAACCTTCTCCATGTGAGAAGAGGCCTTACAGCAGTGGGCTCTGATAGACTGATGATGAATGTTGTAAGATTTTTGTGTATTCATTTAAATTGAACAAGTCTTTCAGATACTACGCTTGACTTTCATCTCGTCTTAATGATCACGGTTTCTGTAAATTAACCGATAGGTCTGTATGTAGATATAAAATAATAAAGAACTCTTAGTATGAGAAAAACCTTGTTTTAATAGAACTAGCTTTCCGCCCGCAGCTTCGTCCGCGTGTAGTTCGGTTATATCGCGTTTCCAAGAGAACCTTTCAAAAGTCTGGGATAAAA